GGCTACCTCCGCTGTGCCAACGACCGGCCCGATCACGCGCACGGTGGTCGGTGCACGCGTGGCACGGAGCTCGTCGTAGCTAAAGTGCGTTGCTGGTGCTGCTTTAGCCTCGGTAGCGCACTGGGTCGTCGTGCGGTCTGGGGCGAGCTGTGGGCGTGTGCGTGAGTTTCAGGCGCGGTAGCGGAGACTGGGTGTTGTTTTTATCAAGTGGTATGCGCTACTGGTGGGCGGGAGCGTGCTCTCCTCAGCTGGGTTCGCAGCTCAGTTCTGCAGGTCGGGAGGAGGCGGCGGATAATCCGAACTGCCGACCTTGCCTGGCTCCGCGGCTGGGCCGACTGAGACTGACGGCTCGGTGGTGCAATGTGTCCGGGCTGGCCCGTCCCGTTCCGCCTCGGCGGTGAGGGATGGGAGCCGTGGCCTCACCGGATTTGTTTCGGCTCGACTATTTCTTGGCTGAGGGCCTCTGGAGCTTATCCCAAAGACCGACCCTGGATGAGAGGCTTGACGACTTGACGCCTTAACACTATGAGTTATGAGGCAACGAGCAACGACCTTCACGCTGCAAATAGGACAACGTGTTGTTCTAATTTCGCGTGAAAGAATTCACGTGAGGTGCGAATTTCGACACTAGGTGGTCGCATACGAGTACATTGTTGGATGGACTTCATGTGACAGTGTTTGACCTAGAGTCTTCGTCTGGTTCAATGAACTGTGACCGAGCTTGGCGCTGATTCTGTTCAATCGTCTGTGCCGTTTCCGCTCACTCGAATATAAATTGTTTGCGGATGCGACGAAAGCGAAGAGCCTCTAATTTCGTCTTCCGGTGGGTAAATGTCCTGGCCATTCATTCGTTCGCTCATCGCCCAATCATTTCGCTATCATTCACTGAAGACGTGTATTAGTGGTCGCATCGTTTAGTGCTCTCAGCTCCCGGTGAGGTTTTCACGAGCACAGTCTGGGGTCCACTCTCCGACCATTACATCTGTGGGATTGAGAACGCGGCCTGCTTGGGGCGCCGGATGGAAACGTTTTAGTCTAGCAAAGCTCGTTGTCGCTTATAAACATCTGAAAATTAGACGTCGTCTTTGTCGTGTAAATTTATGTCCCTTATCCGGCGCTGTCGAGAATCCCCGCTGTTCCTCGGGGTTTTGGGTCCATCTGTGTCCGGTTGTCCCATTCCGTTCCGTCCCGCGTATTTGCCCGCCCTTCTCCTTTCCGTTCTAATTCGCTTCGTTCCAGAATTTGCATCATGAACAGCAAACGGCAGTGTGTATGCAAGTATGGCCTTTGGCTGGCCAACCTAAGATGACTCCACCATCCGGGACCTCCCTACAACATGCTTGAGCATCCCCTATGCCAGGGTATTATTTGGCCATCGGGTCTAATCCTCCGGCAGAGACTCCGCGTGTGTGGCCTCCCGGAGTCGCACGACGCATCTGAGCGCTAACAGTGTTTTGCTTCTCCGCCACCGCGATCGGTTATACCGCCGTCCGCCAAAGAAGCGACTATTGTTCTTATGATCGCACGCGAGCATAACAGCTCGATCGGCCATATTGGATTTGGTAGATGCTGCTATCGGACGCTGGGACATAACGAAGAAGTTTTGAGCCTGAGTTACAACCTATGAAGTATGCTTATTGCTTATGCTATAGATGTTATTGTAGTTGCCGTGTGTTAAATTATATCTACCTTAAGTCCTGTTTCTTCTCGAGGCTTGCTGTGCTCTGGTGCCTGTCCCTCTCAGTGGTAGGCAGCTCAGGCACGGCGTGCACCGCCTCTCGGCGTGGCTGAGGGCTCCAGGCGCCTCATTAGCTGCCAGACCAGCCACAGCTCATCCGTGCAGAGCTGCGGGTCTCTGTCTCATTGGTGCACGCGAGGCTGGAACCGGCTGGTATCTATCGAGTTTCTCTGTGATGCTTTGATCGGAGTAAATACCGGGGCTGGTACCCTGTAGCAGAGAGCTTCCGCTTGATGTGCAGAACTGGTTGGTGCCTAGGTACCGATTTCCATCACCTGGCTTTTGTCATGTCGATGATTTTCCAAGCACTTTTCTCTGTTAGCTGCCGAACGCCTCGTCATAAAGTGTTTTGTGTCTTGTCGATAGACGTCAATGCAAACGGGATGCTTGGGACCGCTAGGCTGATTTTTCCTATCGACGGCCGTGACGCTGACCGCCATTCTGCATAACTAGTAACGGCACCAGAACCCATTTGCATGGCATTGGCCGGACCTGCACACGCCTGCCTAGCGACCCGAAACGGCAGGCAGCCGGACCGGGCCGTGTGCAATGTCGACCTGCATCCATATGGCGAAATAACAGACTGGTACGTCGCTGGGCGATATGTCTCTTTACGGTTGAGAGAGTATAAGAATATCATCAGCAGTCTCGACACACGCTTCTGCATGGCTGCTGCCAACTGGGTAACTGAGGAGTGAGGACTGAGGAGTGAGATGTCCCTGACTGCAGTCACCCACCCGGTCCCCTGATGGTTATAGATGGTCGTCACTTTTGCTCGCCAGGCTGCTACTGCAGTGTCACTGTCGCTCTACCGTCGGACGGCCCTTCTCTGTGACCTTGGGTCTGACCTCGAGCCGCCCTCAGGCGCAGCTGGCACCGGAAACATGGGCCCGCATCGGCACTGTCTCAGTCCCTCGCCGGCCGCCGATGGCCTGGGTAGCCCACGGTGCTTTCAATGCGTACTGCCTTGGTTGGTCGATAGTGGCAGGCTAATGCATGACATGGTGCGACGTATAGCGTCTCTGCAGGGGCCAGTTAGCTGCCTTTCAGCTGCCGCGCGGGGTGCATGAGTTGTGGGTATTGCGACTGGTCAGGTGTGAGGCTTGTGAGTCGTGGTGTGAGTTGTCGGCTGCTCTAAGCCGCGCTGAGTCGGTCTCAGAGCTCTGAGACCGGTGTAAGATACGATGACCGAGTGAGAAAGCCGCCTGTTTTTGACCTGGCCGGTGACCGCGGCGCCCAGCGGCGGAGAGGTCTGTTTTTGTCGTGATGTGAGCGGGATCAGGTCGGCTGTGCGACGGCCACCCCCGGCCCACTGCCTCATAACTATACGACCGTACGACGACGCCCGCCTCTGACGCAACTCTCTCACTAGCGCGTCAGGATCGCCGCCAGCTCGCCATGATTGCCGCGTGGCGGCGATGGCGCCGCCCCCCCCCCCCCCCCGCCGGCATCGTCCCGGGCTCGATTCCTCTCCGAGCTCCGTACAGGGAGGTTGGATGAGCGATCGGCCCGGGCTTGGTAGTCGCTCGCCGGGTGGGTGTGCGAGGCGAGGATTCTGAAAATGGGAAATGTCCTTCACGATTACTAGTGATCGAGTCGGAAAAGATGGAGGAGCGTGCTTTGTGATTTCTTTGAGTGGGAGGATTCTTTTCTTCTGACTGACTGTAAATTCACTTTTTCGGTCTGTTCATTGTATGTTTTAACAGATTGCTACTGTTAGTGCAGGTCGGTGAGCTTTCCCGCTCAGATTTTCCTTTTTCCTCCAGCCCGGTAATTCCGATAGTCCCATTAACTCACATTCCCTAACAGTTAACCGTGTTTTCCAGTTCCATATTCTTTCCATCTCGCTCTCCTTCACTTCAGTCGACTGTTGTCGGTAGCTGGGGTGTTTACCTGTCGCCGGGGCGGCTCAGTGGACATACAATGTCCTCCCATCAGCACCCGTCAGCACCCGTCATCGCCTGGAGACGCTATCTCCCTTTCTGCCTCGTCTCCTACTGTCTTGTCCGTCTGTCTGCCTCGGTCCCCTATCATCCCGATCGTTTGACAACTGTATCCACCGTCTCTCCCGATCCTTTCGGTTGTGAGGCTTTATATGGTCTGATCCCCACCGCTGCGGCCAGCTCAGCTGGTAGCTGATTGATCCTTGCTTCAGGGCGAGCCATGGAGACGGATGCGTCCCCGTGAACACCGCGGGGTGCAGATTGGAACGTGCTGCCGTGGGGGTGAACGGTATGGGCTGGCGGATGAGAGGAGTTCAGGCTTCAGCGAGTGGTGGGTAGCTGGGCTTGCAGCAAAGTGTCAAGAGCATCGCGATTGAGACTCCAGTGGCATAAGGGAATCAGTAGCGAGTGGCTGGCCGGTGACTTGAGATGACTGGAAATGATAGTAGCCCTGGTGGCGCCGTCTCACGGTGGCACGAGAACGATTGCGTGTGTCCGGTGCCTCAGCTCGTGCGGTGTGTGGGTGAGGTGACGCCGGGCCTCTCAGATACCTGTCGCTGTCTGGAGGCTCTCCGGACGTCACATGATCGCTGGATGGCCTTGGCAGGGATTAGTGCCTCCTTCGAATGATGTTGTGGTCGCTCGGCTGAGCACGCTTTTTCGTGTCGAGTTAGCCAGTGGAGTAGAAACACATGCGATCAAAGAATGCAGGGCTAAGGGGAAGTTTGTTGCGGAAACTCGGATAAAGTATTTTTGTTTACGTCATGCAGGGTGAAAGGTCATTAAAGACGTCGCTGGTTTTTCGACCGCTGTAAACTTTCTCCGTCATTCACCGTTTTTCTCCGCCTTTCTTCGTCGTGGCGGTTTTCTCCCATCTGGGTTATTTCATCAGTCGGTATAGAAGTAGTCTACTATATCGATCGCGTGTCCAGTAGTGGGAAGTCCAGCACGAAATCACTTGGCCACCAGACAAAACAAAACAACGCGTCGCTACCGCCAGTAGTCTGTGTATGCGTCAGTTCGAGCTCGAAGGCCCTCAGCCGGCCGCGGGGTTTTTGGTTGTCTGATGTCTCTGATTTTATGTGCATGTTTGTGTGTCATTTCATCTCGTCCCTCTTCTACTCTCCCTCTCTCTCCCTCTCCTTCTATCTTCTTCCCTCCCTCCCTCCCTCTCTCCCTCTCGTTCTCTTTTCTTTTTATCCCTTTTCTTGTTTCGACTTTTTTAGTCTCACTCTTTCGCTATCTTCCCTTGTAACTTACCCCTAACCCTCCTCTTCTCTTTCCCTGTGTATGACCTCACCCCCTCTCTCCGCCCACAGACCGGACTTTTCTCGGCTGATGGCGCCGCCGCCGCTGCGGCGTTCCGGCGCCCCTCAGGTGCCGGCCCATGCCGTCACTGAGGACACGCCGGCTGACATGCTGACCGGACAGATGAGCCTCAGCGTGCTGCTGCCCGACGGGCGACACTGCCGGATGAACGTCGACAGGGGGTGAGTGACTAGTACCGAGCACCGAGTTATCATTGAGTTTGTCTGTTGGGGTTCTAGGGTGCATCGACATTATCGGGGTTATTAGTTATACGTCCTTGCACCGGGTGATAAGATAATACCAACGACGTGGACGGACTGATTCGTCGAGTTTACAGGTATTGCAAATATTGCCTGCTCTATCTACTGTGTTGTGACTGAGATTATTTGAGGGTTGATGTCGTCTTTTATGTTATGAACGTGGACATGTCGACAGAAAGCGAGAATTGTGGAATTGGAGACCTGTGAAGTGTGCACCTACCCTATCAGGCTGTAGTTGGTTGTCTCCACTCGTTGCTATGATCAGGATGCGGATACCAAGCGCTGCGGCGTCAGTGTCAGTGTCATTGTCGTGCAGTGCGGCGCGCCGGTCGTGAGTGCCGAGCCGTGCGGCGTGTGAGACGTTTGTCGCGGGAAGTGCCGACAGCGTGGGAGCCCGGCAGGCCCTCTGCTGAATGTCGTGCTCAGAGCGTTAGTAGCGCTGTGTCCGGTCGGTAACTGCAGGCTGAGGGTTGGAAGCTCCGTGAACTTGGGTGGCGTAGGGATGATAGTGTATAACTTTGATTCGATTCGTCATCGTCATCATTTTGTCGTCATCGTCATCGTCATCAAGCGTCATCGACTCACTAATTGCTATGAAATTCCGAGGCTGCCATAAAAATATAGTGCTTCTAGAACAGTCAGACTGACATGATAGTTAATTGTTTTGAATATATGCAAGTTGGTTTTATCCACGAGATATTAATAGATGCATCGAATAGAGACTCTTCTTTTTTTTATCTGCCTGCCGCCACTCAGGCAGGCATGTGACCGTAACCGAATTCTCCAGTCCTGCATCTCAAGTATGCTAACGAGGCATGCCTGACGCGTTACCGACTACATTGGAACGGAGTCGCCTCCGCACCTGCACCGTTTTTGGGTCAGTGGGGCTGGTGGCGTGTGTTGCCACTGAGGCCTCGTGCCGGTTGCCGTCGCCACTCTGGTCTTGTCGCAGGCCATACGCTGCTCTTGTTCAATGTTCGTCGGCGATACCTCTTGTTGGTCTTTATCTTGCTTGATGTTGTCGTTAGCCCCGTCTTTGTTCGTACTCTACCCTGTCAACATCGTCTGTCGGCTCTCTGCTTTGTGGCTGTTCCCGTACATTTGCAATCTGTATCAGTAATCCGTATTGCCTTCGCGCTACTGTTGGTCCCACGCCGACCTGCATATCATCTCCCGTATATCAGTTCGTGGCGTCTCACAGCTCCTGCGTTGGGCGATGAAGACCGGTCCAGCTCTGGTCCGGCTGCTCAGTATGGATGACCGACCGATCGGCGGTGGGCCGGCGTGGTACCGCGTGGGGCGCCGGTCGAGGTCACTGTCCTCCGTCCCAGAGACGGGGCTGGCTGGCGGCACACGGTCACTGGGGCACCGAGGACTGGGCGCCGCGCCGGGGCGGAACGGGGCACCATAGGACTGGGCACCGGGGCGGAATGGAACACACAGGCCTGGGCGCCAGAGCGGGATTGAGGCACCGAGGACTGGGCGCCGGAGCGTATTGGAACACGTGCAACTGGGCGCTGGAGCTGGACTGCTGCACCGAGGACTGAAACGGCGTAATATTGGAAAATCGAGAACTGGGTGCTGAATCCAGCTGGGGCATGGAGAATCTGTTGGACCGAACCGTGGCATACGAATCGTTCATGCTCCCAATGCATGTGACCCTAGTCAATATCACATCGTTTTTTTTTTGTCTTTCTAAGACGGTGTTAAAAGGTTTCTTGTCGCCAGTAAGGGTCATGTTTTTTTTTTTTGTGCCGCGCTTTCTGTAAATGTGACCCAACTGTGGTGAAACATTTCACGTTTACTTTTGTACGTTTACGGGGTGGATACGTCGCGTAAAAATGATTTACGCTTTTAAGCTGTCCACCTGTCAGTTTTCTGTAAGCGACTAAAACCAGCAATCCAAATAATCCTTAATCTCGGGCTATTACGTTGTGATAGTATCGTCCGCTACCAGTTGTCGACAGACTGTGGGAAAATCAATGGAGTGGTCTTGTTCATTGCCACAAACACCTACAACCGTTGTGGAGCTGTAGAGGAAAACGCAGCGTAACCGGTGGAGGGGACGTTTTGCTCCAATGAGGAAGGCTGTGTGACCGCATTATTGAACACTTGTGACGGTTCCGCTGCAGATGCTTCACCCACCGTATAATTATATCGTATGACATATCGTTGGCACGGGGTTCATTTGAGGCCCAACAGACATGTATTGTATTGCTACGTTCTCTGTGACTTTCTGCTGACCTGTGGTGTTAACCTCTGTGACCTCTCTTTGACCTGTGGTACTGACCTCAATGAGCTCTTTGACCTGTGGTACCGACCTCTGTGACCTCGCACTGACCCATGACCTTCCACTGACCTGTGCTTCTTCCCCTCTCCCGCAGGACGCCCATGATGGACCTGCTGATCCAGGTGGCCACGGCCAATAAGATCAGTCCGGGCGGTCACGTGATCCAGGTCATCTCCGACCGCAGTCACAGCTGTCTCAGCTACAAGCCCAGCACACCGATCGGTACGTATACTGAAACATACACCACCCAAATCCACTGCTGCGGTTCCATGTTTGTGCGCTGCGAGGTGGGACACTTGATCGGATGGTTTGTGCGATTGAGTAAACAGAAGTGCGGGAGGGTAGATCTAGATGGTACGATGACGACCTTGGATTACACCTTTTTGCACTCAAAATAGGCATCTTTTCATTCAATTTCGGCGAATTCCATTCAATTTTAGCGATCTCTCTATTCAAAGCAAATGAGAGATCGCTAAAATTGAATGCAATTCGCCGAAATTGAATGAAAAGATGCCTATTTTGAGTGCAAAAAGGTGTAGATTTAAACCTCTACAGCGGTTTGGTCTTGGGTGTAAAAGTCGGTTATTTGACACCTGTCGCCACTCGTATTTTAGTAAGCGAGTGGCTTATGATTTTTACTCGCGCTGAGCCGCTCATTTTTCCTTTCTGTTGCATTTGGATGGGCCGGCGCAGGTCAGACGCTGTTTTCGTCCAATGGATTCAGAGTCGGATTACGTCATTCGTGGGGTGATGTCAGTGAGTATAGTGACGTCACACCACTCCATCATGCCCGGACTGACGCCGGCCATTGATGCCTCCACCGTAGAGCGGAGACTGCGTCTGGCGACTTTGTTCGCCGTTCTGAGGGACCCTCGACCTTCTCACAAGAGGCCCTTCTCTGGTATTGTCGCTAGCTACGTGCGCTGGGTGTCTCGCAACACTCCCCTGTTGGGAGTTTACACTCCTCTCCACCGCTCTGCCACTCCACTCCACTCTGCCTCGGGCTATTATGACTATAGGGTCAATTGGCGAGGCAAGGCTTATAACCTTGCCATCGGTCATATCATCCGTCAGTCCATCAGACAGACTTAAACCATCGACAGACGGAAAGTCTGAGTGGCTGATCACTGATCATCCTAGCCCCGTCCGACTACACAAGGGTCATCTGCATGGACCCCATGACTCCCTCCGCGGCGCCTCGGTGGCCATTGCGCCAATTGAAGCGCGGTTGGCCGTAATGTGGTGCGATGAGACAGAAAGGATGCTGATCAATTCTGGCATGCGAGCTGTGACCGCCAGAGGGCACGGCGCAGTATCTTCCGTTTGGTTTGGATCTGGTCTGGGTGCAGTTCGCCTCTGCTCCTATACTTTCTGAATATGTTCTGAGAGGAGATTTTGATCGTGCTTACATAACTGTGCGATAGTTCGTACCTCCTGGCTGGGACGTCTTGCATCGACTTTTTACATATGCCCAACTTACCTCGATGGGCATTGGAGGCTCATAATTATGTTAGAGAGCATCAGTCTCATCATCCTCCCATGTCCGATGGCACCACGCGCCGTCTCACACGCTCCCACGCCATGTGAGTGCCGGCCGTGCAGTGAGTGCTGCAGCTTCAGAGTACGACGCAGCGAACCGTGCACCGCCCCCGCCCCCTCCCCACCCCTCCGGCTACTCCAGGGCACTTCTGAGGTCACTAACCGGACTACCAACGTCGCCACTGGCTGGTACACTGTCTCACAGCCGCATCTAATTGAATAGACGGCGCCGAGCGGCTGCAGCAGACTGCCCATTGCAACAATGGCAATGCAGCCGCGTATGTCCGGCAGATGGGCTACTCGGATGGATTTAGATGATAAGGAGACGCCATGAAGCTGAACTAATCCCCCGCCGCGTGACCACTGGAGACTCTGGGAATGCGGTGATGTGCTGAACAGTTTCCGCATCTGAGTTACCACGGGCTCTGATAGTCAGCATGGTTTGTGGGCTTTGAGTGGACTCAGCTGGGCTATTTTTGGTTATTTAGGTGGTTATTTGCACACTTCAGCACACTTCAGCGCTTTCTTGTCGTGCTTGTTTGCAGTTGCCTGAATTAGGATCGCAAGCTGTGTTGTTATAACCGCTATACATATGATTGTTTCTACGGCGTGATGTGATTTACTCGTTCTGTATCATTTCGTTGACGGTACCGTGTGAATTTCGTGTCATTGCAGGGACTTTGGACACCACCGCTCTCCGTATCGTGCCGAAAAACAAGATCAACGAACTTCCCAGTCGGCGGACTAAGCCGCCTCCCCAGAACCCGATGGCCGATGCCAAAATTCGCATCAAGGTACGGACGGGGACGGCGGGTGGCAGGGCGTTGCCGTCTGTCGGTAGAGCCTGTGGGGTAATCGCGGTTCAATCAGAGGCATGGCCCGGCTCAGTTGGAAAACGCTGCTGAAACTGATAACATAATGGCTAATTAGGTTTTGTTCAACACTTTTCATCTAAGTAATCGGAACTAAAGTATTCAAAACATTCAAAATTGAGAGCTGGTCAAATGCTGGAAATTGGAATCCATAACGAGAAAAAGGTTCGTCCTATGAGTGCTGAAGTTATTCACGATAATTATGTGAAACTAGCTTCCAGCCGTTCCTGCACCACTTGCCTATCTTATCAAAATCCTGCAAACGTCCAGGGTTGGGTGGAACAAATTGTGTCGTCACTTCGCTAACGCATTTCTTATGAGACACTTATAAACATTACTGGCGCTTGTGGCAGTGTCTGACGTCATTATTCTCGTTTTTGCAGGTGTACCTTCCGCGAAATCAGCTCTCAGCGATGAGGGTTTCACCGAAAACGCCGCTAGCTGAGGTTCTGGATCAGATCTGCAAGGACAAGAACCTGGACGTCTCCCGCTACGAGCTGCGCCACCCCGGTGAGTGAGGCGCCCGTGCTGCCATCTATTGGGACGGCGGGTAACTTGTAACAGCTTGGAGACGCCGACTCTACACAAGAGCGTAACTGTCGGCTCTGGAAAGGCGCTGGCGTGCAAATGGGACTTAGTAACTCCAAAATGCTGATATTTAGCGTCTGGATAGAATGGGAGCCACCTTTGTGTACAGTATGTTGCCAGTTCGTGACACTTAGAGACGAACTTAAATGTCGCCACCCAGATTCCATGGTAAGAGAGTAGACAAAAGGAAGCATGAGAACACAAGCTGGCTGGGAGACACAGGATGATAATTTTTATCTAAGCTCCTCTTCTAGACAGATATCTCTAGCGCTTATAGTTCCGTAGTCCCTTAAACATACATCCTGGTGCTTTACCATCCGTGTGCCTATTACTCGGAGTCTCGGACATCGTTAGCTGAATGCTAAGATTCGACGTCATTACGCGTCCTCGGATTATTGAGTCACTCGCACTGCTGATTACAATGTTCAGTCGCGATTGAAAGGCAAGTCAAAATTGCTTTATCGCTTTTAGTATAATGCTGCCCACTTTAAACGCTTAGTCAATGCTGACTGTGATTTTCATACGCACAAACGATTATGCGATTATAAGTCTCCGCGATAACGTAACTCTGATAGCTGATGATAGTGGGACGCATTTCCTCCAAATTCCCTGAATCTATGAGCAAACCGCCGCTTACAGCAGGCACGTGAGTGCTATCCTCCGTGGGGGGGGGGGGGCAGTCTCCGTCACCATATCTGACCTCTATGTGCGCCACATTCCTGTACTGATGTGAGGACGTGTCCCGCCGGCCGGATGGGACGACGATAAGATAGCCACGAGCTCGAGCCGACGTGTGACTCCGTAAGGATAGTCTGAAGGACGCTCTAAAGTCGGCGTTATACATGCGGCGGTGGCGAGGGAGCTAACCTAGAGTAACCCAACTAGAGAGCGTCGGCCTTTTTGAGTCAACAGCTGGTGGGTGATGGTGTGTCTACACTGTCCTTACGGTTATCAAGGTGATGTTTGCACGATGATGCAAACGCTTGTCTGTAGTGTTTGCCAAGGGATGTTGCATATGTTTGCGTTACCAACGCAGGATCGAGTACCGATGGACCCCAATTGCATAAAGTTGACCCTCTTCAGATAAGTGAGCAGTTTAATTAAATGTCCGTAGCTTGACGTGATTGAGTATGCGTGGCTGGATTTGCGCTCAGTATGGTCGATTGAAAGTGACAACTCGCAAAACAGCACGCATTTCGTCAAGAACTTCTTATATGGCTGTCCCAGGAAAACTTGTGCAGAGTGGTTGTATCTTCTTCTAGCCCCTCCTCCCCCCCCCCCCAAAGACGCACTGGACTGAAGAGAATTGGAGGGCGTTAGCGCGTCCCACCGTGCGTGCGGCAGCGAGGCGGCATTGCGGGGGGAGAGAGGGGGAGGCGTGTGTCCCCCATCCTCTGTCGGACTCCTCCCTCCACTCTCACTCTCGCCGGCCGCCTGCCATTGAACCGCGGATCCGCCGGTGATACCGAGTTTCCACTTAATGGGCCGTGTCCGTGTGTGATGTCGTCTCTGTGTCGCTACAGTCCCTCAAATCAGCATCCCTGCAGGTGTTGGCTACTCCATAGCATGTCATGATCTTCCGTGTTCGAGTTCTGACTGGCTGGGAAATCAGAATGATTTCAACAAGTGAACGCCAATGTAAACGACTACGTGTATACTCAACGTACACATGCTACCGATTTGGTGTGCATGATCGGTCACCTCTACTCTTCTGTCCACCCGCGCTGGCTCACGGAGAAAAGTCTATGCCTGCGTGTGCAGTTGCTCCGCGGGACACCGGCGGTGGGCAGCGGCCTCCTCCGCTGTGTGGTAGTGCCCGAGCCAGCTGCCCCGGGACTTATAGTTAGAACTGGCGCTTCTATGGACGGAAGGGATGACTTCTGACTACTGACGACTTGTGGCTGACCCTGTACGGCTGGCTCTTAACGGCTGCACGACTGACAACTATCGACTATAGTCTGACGTCTGATGACTGTTCGTAATTCCAAGTGCATATCTGGTCTGTGTAGCCCGTTAATATTTCCTGACCTCCATCTGCGTTGGGTGGGACACACCACCCCCGCTCCTACCTTCGGTCAACACTCATGACATTCAATCAGTACCAATGACGTCAGAACCAGTGCCTGCGTTTGCAGGTGGCTTAACTACTGTGTACCGGCCGCCACCCGGCTTTACTTAGGATTGGTGCGTGCATAACGTATCTTGCATGACGTCACAGATTCTAGGGGTGGTTTCCATCAGACGACTTGTGTGGTGACTGGTTGGGCGCGGCCATTTGAAACAGGACCCTTTTAGTGTATACCGTCACTTCTTTATCACCTATAGGCGAATATGCAAAGCATTATTATGCATCAGATGCGCTGCTTATGTTGCTGGTCGTGAATGTAATAGCTGGAAGACATGCACTTCCTTCTCGTGTTCCAGCGTTTTCTGGCTACCTAAGCCAGCCGCAATGCAGATTACCTGTTAAAAAATGGACGTCGTTGCTAGTTAGCATGTTTTCGCCGTGTGGAACATGAAACCTGCAATTTCTCCTGAATGCATTCATGCGGCTTACTTTCGGTTGTTGGTTCAGTGACTCGCTAGTGGCGATTCAGGCTGCATTTCCCATTCACTGCTAGAACATGCTACCTGTGCTTGAGACTTCCTTTGAATGAATGGCTCACTTATCTCTGTGCCCCGACTTTCGCTTGCTATTCCAATACGGCGCCCTCTCGGAGAAAAACACCTGTCCGCCCCTTGTCCCCTGTCCCCTTCCCGTTAATCTTCCGCGTCCGTTCCATTACGGTGTTTTGCTGGTCCATCTCTGGGACTCTGGCTGTGATGAGTACCGTTAGGTCCGTTCAATGGGGGGGGGGGGGGCAGTCAGTCACGTCCCCACCCGGGCCAAATCCATTATCCATTATCCGATGGAAGAAGTCATCGGTAGTCTTTCCGCGAGAGTTGATCGACGCTACAACGGATATTTCATGTCACCAACTCAGTTTTGCAAATATCCTATCTAACCCCGTCCTTATTTCTCAATTAGCATCCCATCCCGGCCCGTTTTATCCCATCACTTCCTATTCAGTCTCCCTCTCATCCCGTCCCGCCCAATCCTGTCTCGTCCTTTTCCATCCCATGTCCCATTCTTGTCCCGCATCCCACCGCCCCATCCCCGTCCCGTCCCGTCCCGTCCCGTCCCATCCCGGTCAGCTGATCGTCCGTCGGCGGCTCCCGCCCTCTGATTGGCCGGTCGTCTGATGACGCACGGCCCGGACGGACCGGCTTGCAGGCGGTCACAGCGCGCGGCGCAACGGCGGCCTGTCGCGGGACGAGCCTCGAGCGGAGAGCCCGCGCCGTGTGTCGTGCGGCGGAGTTGAGTGCCTCGCACTGCTCGGAGTGTGCGTTCTTGGAAGTGTGTGGTTAGCAGAGGGTGCGCTGCGTGCTTTGAAGTGTGTGAAGCGAGCGGGACCGCTCGAGGAACTGGTGGAGTGGAGGGCCCTCAACCCGGGTGGTCTAGACGGCAGCAGGTGAGAGGGCGGAGTGGTCTGGACCCGCCCTGACCGGCGGAGATCTGAACCCGCCCGGCTGACGCTGTGTGTGGTGGAGATGAGTGGCGGTGCCGGTCCCATTACCGGCTGACGTCCGAACGGGTCTGAGTGATCCCCGACCCGACCGGTCCGATCCCGGCCGGCCTGACCGATGGCTGGTGGTTACCGGTCGTGCCGTGACCGATTGGTCATTAACTGCTGGCTTCCGACATTCCTCCCCCCCCCCCTCCTCCGGTGGCCGGTTTCACTTTGATCAATTATCGCGAAAGACGGTGTGGCAGCGTGTTGTGCGCTTTCTCGCCCGTTAGAGCGCCGTGCCGGCCGCTGGAGCGGCGGTCAGCCCGGCAGAAGAGGCTCGTCCGGCGCCGACTGAGAAAGCTGTCGCTGCAGTGCCGGGCTGGCCTCTGCTTGAATGGCATTCAGTTGCAGTGAGCTCAGAATGCTGGCCGGCCGTGCAGCCTTGGAGCCAATCCAGGCGGGTCTTGGTCGCGCGGACGGTGATTGGTGTCATTGAAGACTCCTGCGAGTCACCAAGGGTGTTGTCACGGTTGCTTGGTGCACGCTGTTTGCATCTCTGAATGGTGTCCTATGACGACTTTCACCAGTCAAGGGTGTCTTCTGACGGCCTGTCACCTGCCACTATGACTGTTGTCACCTGTCACTGGTGTCTCCTGACGGCTGTCACCCGTCACTGTCCTCTGACAGCGGTCAGGTGACAGTCGCCGCGCGTCACCCCACGTGAGGCGGCGGCCGGCGCGGCGGTGGCCGGCCCGGAGAACCCGCTCCGACCGGACAGCCTCAGCCGGCCAAGGACGGCCAGTCGGGTCTCTTCGCCCCCTCCCCTGCCCGGCGCACGGACCCGCGGCGCTGGGCCCCCTGCTCTGTGTCCGACAGGCCGACCCCGCCCCACTTATGGTCCGGTCCCTCAGTCCGACCTCCAGCGTTGGACTCCTGACATGAGCGGTCAGCGGGACCCGTGTCACAGAGCTCAGTGCGGACCAGTGACTGCTGTAGCTACGAACCTCTCTCTCACTCCTCTCCTCGCTCGGTGCATCCCAGTCATGCTTTAAGCTTTTACTGCATGATGCACTGACGCAGTCTCATGTTCCACGACTATCAGTCAGCTCACCTCACCTCACAACTCGAGATCAGCTCACTTACGCCTGGATTAATTAACCAGGTGTGACCTGGATGACTGGCATCTCTCCAGGTGGCTATGTCTGACCTCTGCTCCCCAGGTGACCCCACCTGACCTCTGACCCTTTGCCCGAGCTGAGAGTGATGGACAGTCACGGTTCCTCATGTATCGCTGATTTACGATCCTCTCAGGCTCGCAGCAGCACCTGGCTGGTAATTTCAATGCGGCGACCTCAGTTGGCGCTTCTGATCGTGAATCTACCGACCAGAACTCCGTGCTGCGCCCATCCGGACGATCTTCCAGCCGCTCCGCTGATCCGTCGCGAGCGGACACGTTTGTCGACTGGAATCCTTGACCGGTCGTGTCTGATACGATCTATAAGGCGCCTGGGCCGCGCGGCTGAGGCGAAAAACTGGCCGCCGGGAGCGCGTCTCTGACCGGTCGGCTGAGACTGGTGGCTGTTGGTGAGCTTACAGCTGCATGCAGTAGTCGGAAAACGGGACTGTCTCTGAGATCAAGTGGTAGTTGAGCTGTGAATGCGTGAGGTCGGCGTTAGCTGGTTTGTGTTGTTGGAGACATGCGTGGTTTTATGCCAAGCTCAATGGTTATCGAACAGGATGCATTGTGGATCAGATTCAGCAAATTTTAATGAGGAATTTGAGCGAACGTATTGGGTGAACCAATTCAATGATATGGGTTCTAGCCTGCAGATATTTCGCATGGTAATCCATCGCGTTCCATGATATCTGCAGATAAGCACAGACAGCATCCCAACACTATTGAAACTGGTCCATCGAGCCCGCCCGCATACATTATGCAAATGCGAATAATGAGTACCGATGGCCTCGTTCGATCAAATTTGACATCAAACACCCTGAATTAGAGTGGGGGTGAAGTGTTAGCGTTAGTTGGTTCGAGTGTTTGGCTGAATTCTCGTTCCACGTTACGCCTGCGCGTCACGACACGACGACGCGGCTGTTCGAGGGAGAGACGGGGACCACCCAAGGTGTTTATTATTATGACACGCCTGCTTGCCCATCGAAGTTTCGGTTCCATTGTTCGTAGAATGCCGTGATGTTCTGGAGGGGTGTGTCTGATTTTGCCCTCTCCGTGCGCGTGTTAACCGCCCTTCCCTGGGCTGGCGGACCTCGCAGAAACAAGACACGCTTGAGCCGCCCATGGGCGATTCGACTGCCTCCGCCCATCGAAGGCGGCTCACCACCGCCCGCCGTCTCTGCCGCCCCCGCCCCCGCCCTGCACCATCCCCTCAACCCCTGACCCTTCCGTGCTACCGCCTCTTATAACGAGCCCCTGCATCCATTGTTGCATGTCCTTACGCACCAGTCAGTTTGTTTGCACCTGTCCGTCTGCCTGTCTGTTCTTTGGCTGTAACCCTTTCGCCCTCTCCTCGCTCTCGCTCTCGCTCTCGCTCTCGCTCTCTCTCTCCTCTCTCTCTCTCTCTCTCTCTCTCTCTCTCTCTCTCTCTCTCTCTCTCTCTCTCTCTCTCTCTCTCTCTCTCTCTCCCTCCCTCCCTCCCTCCCTCTCTCTCTCTCTCTCTCTCCCTCCCTCTCCCTCTCTCTCTCCCTCCCTCTCCCTCTCCCTCTCCCTCTCCCTCTCCCTCTCCCTCTCCCTCTCCCTCTCCCTCTCCCTCTCCCTCCCTCTCCCTCTCTCTCTCTCCCTCTCTCTGTCCCCTCTTTCTCCCCTCTCTCCCTCTCTCCCTCCCGTTCCGCCCTGACAGCCGGGTGGGTCCGGTCACGCCTGCCGCGGCCTCACGGGGTGCGCCGAGGTCACTCCCAAACGGACACGCACCCTACAGCTGACCTCACTGTAGTCTGGTGCTGACCAGAGAGGGATAGCCTCAGTCGGCGCTGGAGGCTGGTGCGGAAGTGTGGTGGTTGAGCGGGCTCGGGCCTCGGCTGGTGTGAGTTTTTGATTTGGTGTTTGGATTGTCTCAGCTTTGCTGTGGGTTTCGTCAATATTCTAGCTGAAACGGATTCTGCCGATAACTGAGAGGCAGTGAAATTGATATCGCTCAAACGTGCCTGGGATGACTGGCATTTGCCTACACGGGCTCGACATTGGTTTGATGTCATTTTTCCGTATTGCTCCGACGAAAGATCCAGCAGTGGGCGCCCGAGGTCTGTCAGAGGCTCCGTCACGGACGGAGTTACCGATCGCTGATTTCACGCGCGCCGGCTCCTATGGCTGTACATAGTCCAGAGATGGGCTAAAATCATCTGTACCAACCGACCATCTAATATGTGATCCAGCTATCTTTCCAGTATCCACCCAGACTGCCAACCCTTCCCCACTCTGATCGTTTAACTGAAGGCCTCCGGGGACCGCAGCTCTGATGGCGCTGTGATGGCCTTCCCGGTCAGGGGTCAAGGGTTATCTGATCGCCGCCGCCGTTAATCGGTCTGATTGGCGGTCGATACGACCGGCATGCCTTCCGGGGAGGATTCCCTCTGCCACATGCCGATGATGTTACTCAGTGACGTCAGTTTGGTGACGTCATATCTGCTAGATTTCCTCTGGCTGAAGGACCGAGTGGGAGGACGGAGGCGGTCGGCGCCTGCCCACCTGCATTAGCCGATGTTGATACTGCACAAGGCCACTGACGTTTCAGGCACGCTGAGGTCTACCGATAGCCGTACATACACGAATGGGGCGGCACTGCCCGGGAAATGTACCGCTATATGTGGTGAAGGCTGGTGCTGATCGAGAGATTGCTTGTTCCGGGTGTTTCCCTTCGCTAAGTTCGTGTTTTGACTGGAGGAATGTTAGCTTGTGTGGTGAGTTTCTAAGCAATCGCACCGCTTGGCCTTTGCCTTTTACGTTTTATTTGATTTTAAACTGCTGGGTCGGGTTTCGCATTGCAATAGTTTCAACTGTTGCGCTGAGTTTTCGCTCCTCACTGTTGTGCTGGACGTTTTATGACATTATTTTAAAATTAAACCTGGTATGACTTGTTAGCGGCTTAGTGTCCCCTCTGAACCTTCAACTCATATGACATCACCCGAGGCCAAATCGCTCCTTACAAGCTTGTCAGAGGTGTGGGTCTCAGCTCTCATTTTATCAAGTACCTGCAACTATCGAGTGTCAAGTGGCATTCATGATGACTTTCCCAGGTATGCGGCCTCTATAAGGCCACGCGCGGTTTTCCTCTGTGATTGTTCGCCTCTGACTTTATCAAGGTGCGCAATGCCTACAGAAGATAGATCCGTGTTGTGCCATTATCGTTTCCCGACTCATGTGACCACCTGGTGCCGGTTCGCGGTGCCGCGCTGATTGTGAAGTCCGTCCGACGGCGGTCGCTCTCAGATGTGCCGACCGAGGCGGCACTCTGACGGCAGAGGCTGATCTGTATCGAAACCATGACAAATGTCCAGCGCCGTCACCGGAGCGCAGCATGCAAATCCGCCGGCGAAAGTGTCCTCACTCCTCACTCGAAAGTGTCTCGTCGGAGCGCCGCCGCGGCCGGCCGTCGCTCCTCCGTCCCTCTTTCTGGCAGAGTGATAGGAAGTGCGCAAAAGGAATGTGTGGGTTGCAGGAACGGGAATAGATGGACGGATCGATGACAGTGCGATAGGAGAGATACGGCAGAGATAGCAGGTGGCATTGTCCGAGGCGTAGGTCACACGTGCCGCTGTAGTCATCATGTGACTGCGGGCTGAGTCAGCAGCAGGAAAATCGGCAGCCACCAGGCAGAGGCTGTCACGAACTCGTCCCATCTGCATTGCGGCCTAGCCAAGTGACCGCCAGCTAACCGGCTGTGTCATTTACATGTGTCCTTGATTTGCTTTATACGGGTAGCGATAGTATTGAACGGCGACGCATGCCGGCGTATTGCTATGGAGACTCCCTTCGACAGTCGCCAACTCCCTGCAGTCCTATCCGTCCGTCATAACCTGGCCGTCACGGGTTTCCTTGTGCGGTTTATCACGAGCTCCCTGTCGCTGCTGCGGATGCCACTGTTCCGTGTCTCTGCTCCGTGCCGGCCGCCGTGCCGCTCCGCTGCCAGTGAACCGGCCGGGACGTGGACCGCCCGCCGCAGCGGCGATGACCGTATGTGTGTGGGTGACCTGCTTACCGGCCGGTACACCGGGCGGCAGACCGGTGTCGGTCGGCCCGCCAGCCGCCCGCCTGCCTGCCTGGCATACAGGCTGACCGCGCGCCGCGCCTGGCGGCTCACCGACCAGGCCCGGGCGAGTCAGAGCGTTCCAGTGAAGGCGCCACAGCCGCCGTCTGACGAACTTAGACGACGGGTTACCGGGCGAACCGTATGGGGTGTCACGTCTTCACTCAGCCACAATAGAGGATTATCGGGGAGATATGCCTGAGCAGGACGGGCTCCAACTGGGAGGCCGCCGTTCTGGGCCATATTTTTTCTGGGCCATATTTTTTCTGGGCCGCCGTTCTGGGCCAAATATGCCGCCGTTCTGGGCCATATTTTTGCTATATGATGTCTCAAGGGTGCTGCTTTAGGTAGAGGTCAACACTTCATACGGTTTAGTTCTAGTGAAATTTATATAAATCACTTCCTGCGGACTTTCCAGCGTGCTCACTCCAGCAGACAGTATGTGTACTCGTGGTTCCATCGTGGTCACGTCCGTGTGGGTCCGCTGTAATTTTCCGTCCGGGCGGATCCCAGTCTGTGATTTCATTACCGGGAAAATGACCGCATGTGTGTCTCAGCAGTGGTTTATTGGGCGGTGACGCGTTATTTCATGCCTGTCTGCGCGCACGTTCGTGGTGAATTCGTCAAAACAAGTCCTCTTTGGACGCCTTCCGTAGTACGTTCATATGTCGAGGTATGATATGTTACCCGTCTTTTCTGAAAATCTATGCTGAACATTATACGTTGTATTAGTTATTTATGTATGTAGATCATGTTCTTTGCTGCGTCTGGATGTCTTCTGACGGCTCGTTCTCTCTTTTTGCAGTGAATGTAGACGAGCGACTTCGACCGAGTTGCTGCCTGGCCGACTACAAGCTGCAGGAGGTCACTGTGGTGCCTCTCAACAGTCGCACCAACACGGTACGAAAACGGATAGGACTATCCAGTGGGCTGGAGGACCTAGCTGGCCGTTACCATTATGTAGGGAAGTTTTGAAGCAGGTGGGACGTGTTCCAGTCTGTTCTTCGGGAGTGTTTGGAAATGTGTGCCGAATCCTCGCTTCACTGCGTGCTCACCTAGAATGCCTCCTTCCACCTTCTCCAAGCTGTTCCATTTTGCGAACAACGGCTGGGCGACGCCATCTCTAACCCTGAAAAAAATGAATACTGGCGTCCGAGTAAGAGCCCATGTTGAGCTTCGCCAGCGCGGCGGCTACAGCCAATTCGCCCGGTGTGCTATTTCCTCTGCACCGATGGGAACGTCCCCCGGTATAATCTCACCCCCTTTCACCTTAGACGGCACGCTCTGTGATGTCACGTGACCCCAGACGGCGGACCCGAGACCCATCTGCTGGGGTAGGGGGTGGGGAAGGGAGCTGAGGCCGCAGCTAGGCTATGGGACACCCTCGTGCTACGAACTGAGGTCACAGCGGCGGTCCGCGCGACGGGGACCGGTAGTCTATCCCACTGAGTCGGGCCCTGCCACCGTTGTACCGAGGTCGGCGGCGGTTGCTGTGAGCTCTATGGGCGCCTCTCCCACGCCAGGTTAACTGAGGCCACGCTGGCCCGGTCCCGCCTTGGCGTCCAGCGGCGTATTTAGAAAATCGCGAAGGGGGGGGCCAAGGGTTTGGAGGGCGCCACCTCACCCAAGGAGGGCGCCATACGGTCGCGAGATAAAAAATCGCTCAGTGGGGGTTGGGGGGTTGGGAGGCGTTTTTTACCATGCCACCAGTTTTTTTTTTTTGCGTAACCTCGTATAGGTCGTGCTGCATTGATTTTGCATCGTGTGTATTCTTTATACTCCAGGTCACAAAAGGTCAAGTGTTCTTGAAATGCTGCGCCGAAGGCGCGCGAAATTTTTGAAAACAACCTTTTCCTCCGCTTTTTAGGCACGCCTTTTATACGATCACTGTTCAAAGCTCCTCTCGCTCTTTTACCAAATTTGAAGGTGTAAAAAATACCTAAGGTTTGGTCGGGCCGCTGCCACACAAACTGTACAGAAAGCTTGGCTCATGGGTGTCGATGTATAAAAGTTTATTGGCGGTGGCATATCTACGCACCAGATCACTGTATCGGATTGATACCGGAGCGCGAGATGCGTAAACATCATCCAAATTACCTCAGACCAGCCTTCATAGCCTTCTCACAGATGCATACAGTGTACCCACATAACCAGTTTCAATCACCGAAACTTAAGATGCCTGCTGTTGCGCCCGAACCTGTTGACAATACTTAATCGTAATCCATATAGATGCCATGATGCACGTAAAGTAGGATCAATCCGTTAAGACCAAAGACGTGTTTTATGCATCGTAGAGCGTAGATAGTTTTGGTAGGTATAGATACTTCATTCATTGTGCTGAATGCACGTTCATTTGTGGCAGTTTTCACAGGCAAGACATCAACTATGTGCAATAGAACGACTAAGTTGAAAAACATGCCAAAGGAGTAAATAAATGATAGGAGGGCAGCGATCAACGGATGTTGCCAATAGGTAGAAGGGCTGCGATCCACAGGAGGGCACTAATAGGTAGAAGAGCCCCGATCAACATCCCGAGTTTCGACAGTAGGGCACCGATAGGTAGGAAGTTGGCGAGCAGCAGGAGGGCGCCAATGGATAGAAGGGCAGCGATCAACAGGAGGGCACCAATAGGTAGGAGGGCGCCGATCAACAATCAACAGGAGGGCGCCACCAGGTAAGAGGGTGGCGAGGAACAGGAGAGCACCAATAGGAGGGTGGCGATCAACAAGAGGTCGCCAATAGGTGGGAGGGCGGTCATCAACTGGAAGTCGCCAATGAGCGGAAGGGTGACGATTAAAATGGGGGTGGCAATGGTGAGGAGGGCGCCTTTGCTCAAGAGGATGACACGAACAGGAGGGCGTCTGTGCGGAGGGCGCTGGTCAACAGGAAGGTGCCAGTGGATAGGAGGGCGGTGATCAACAGGAGGGTGCCAGTGGTTAGGAGGGCGGCGATCTACACGAGGGCGCCAATGGGAGAAGGGCCCCGATTAACATTCAACAGGAAGGACTAGGGAACCAATAGGTAGGAGGGCGGCACTGAACAAGAGGGTGCCAAAAGGGAGAAAGGCGGCCTTCAAAATTTCACATGAGGGCTCAATAGGTAGGAGAGCGCCAATAATTATGAGGACGCCGATCAGCAGAAGGGCGGCAATGTGTAGCAGGGTGGCGACCTACAGGAGGGCGCCTTCGGGTGAGAGGGCGCTTATTTACAGGACAGCGGATTACATAGGCGACCACCGTTACGCTTAGAGAGCTACAGCCTACAAATGTGGTTGGAGGGCGCCCGAGGGAGCCCTCCAACCGTATTTGGAGGGCGTATTTGGAATGGGCGTCCTCCGAGGGCGCCCTCCATCCGTATTTTCCCTGTAAACACATTCGCGATTGGAGGGCGCCCTCCAGTCGCGATTGTTTTTCGATTCGATTATATCACAATTGCATTTGCGATTGGAGGGCGCCTTCGGCGCCCTCCAATCGCAAAGGGCGCCTTCGGCGCCCAAGGGGGGGGCCATGGCCCAGTGGCCCCCCCCCTGCCTACGCCCCTGTTGGCGTCTGTGTTCACTGTTCAGGGCGGCGCTCACACGTTAGTGGTACAGGTGGGAGGTTGTTATCGCACTCATTCCTCGCAGGGTGTCATTGGTGTCGCGCATGGGAGTGGGAGTGTATGTCTTTACTCGTCGCCACACAGAGTGGGAGTGTTGGGGTTGGAGTGTATGCTGTGCTACAGAGAGCGATTGTTTGCTTGCTGAGTCAGAGTTGTGTCGAGGACCGCCATGGAACTGTGCGAACTCAGTGAGTTATGTGAGAGTATTTGAGCTCACGGATATTCTCTCTGTTTGTTTCAGGTTTTGTCCTCAGCAGACATTATCGCCATGCAGAAGAAATCTGATGGGAAACGTAAAATCTTCGCCATCTTTGGCAAAAAGAGCAAACCGGTAAGTGTGGCATTTCGGCGAGGCAGCTGGAACGACTTAATTGTAACTTATCGTATGTCTAGAGAAGTGCATGGCATCACTCGCCGAAAAGTTGTCGCCCTGAAAAACGTGCCAAACGTTTAGGAAATAATTAAAACAGCATAATAAATGTTAAGAATTAACCCTTTCTATAAATAACGTCATCATGAAGTTCATCGCCGTTCTTCGAGCTCTCCGTCACGAGTCATTATTCGGATGCCTCCGCTCAGGCAACTAACGATTCACCACCGTATTCCGTGCCTGATCAAAGGCCCTTGAAGGCTCTCCTCTGTGGGCTCATCTCGGCACGGGGCCAGCCGAGCCGTCTCCCACCCTCGAACACGTTCCGACCTCCGTGCGCCAGCCGAGGGGACCGTTAGCTGAAGGTCAGAATTGAGATTTCATTGAACGGGCCGCGGGAAACGCCGACCTGATGGGCTGCGGCGGCTGGCAGTTCGTGCTACAAATGGTGTCATGTTGAGCCGTTTGATTGCGGTTATGGTAGTCGGCTCGCGAGAACGTGCTTCTCGGGCGGGCGGTGAGGTAATGAACATTCCCCCCTGGGGCTGTGGAGGCTCCGACGGGTCGCTGGCGGCCCGGAAACTGCTCCGTTCCGGCGGACCGGCACGTGGGTCGCCTCGGATACCGCCTCTCCCGGCCGTCCCGTGACGTCTGATAACGCAGCCTCCGGGGCGCTATCTAACGCAGCCTCCGCGTGAGCACTATCTTCTACTACACGGCTCTATCTCGCTGTGAGGGAGACGGGGCCGGACTGAGCGCGCCAGGCCCATAGAGTGGGCCGTTCACAGCTACGTGTCTGGGTGGGTGCGGCTCTCGCTCGAGTGGCTGTCTATGCGGGCAGCGGCGGCGGTGTTGGTTAGACCATTGTCCGTTCATGATGACCCGACATTTGCGGCCGCTACTCCGGAGAAAACTGCAAGCTGAGCCCGGGATACGGCCTCCGCGGGCTGTGGAGCGTTGAATGACCGCTGTCTCCAGTGATGAGTTTCCCTGGTGCGACTTTCCCTGAGCTACCGCCGCTGGGTCGTTTAGGAGCCGTCTGAGCACCCCGAGGTCGGTGTCCCCCCTTTGGCTTCCCTCTGCTGGTCCACAAATGTGGGCCGCGGTGCCACTGCTGCCTGGCACGGGGTGTGGGCGTGGGACAGGCCTCAGTCACACCGCGCTGTACTGGTTCGATCGTAACTCGCCGCCTTCTGCCACCGCCTCCCCCACAGACAGCCGGCCACTCCAGCGTCATCGGTGACGTAGCCCCCGGGGGCGTGATAAAACTTCGTAAAACTGCCCTATAAAACACCCCCGGAAGGCCGGCCTACGTGGAGCGCGGCCGTTTACTAGAATCACCGCTGATGGTGCCGATAGTGGCTAAGGCATGCCGTTTACCCTGATGTTCCACAGAAAACACCGCCCGTGTTGGCCTATCAAGGCATGACCTGCTAAAACTTCCGTGCTGTCGCTTGTGCCGCTACTATCTGGTGCTGTGGAATCCCGACTGTAGGTAAGCATGACAGGTCGTGCGGCCGCCGACCGTTGCGCCGGGTGAACATCGTGCCACTGTCCGGTGTCACGTGCAGGCTGCTGTCGACAGGCCGCGGACAAATGGTGTGGACTGCATCCCATTCGAGCAGCGCGGCTTCCATTGAGGCTCGGATGACTATCGTCCATGAAATGAGCCGCTCTGTGTCCGATAAACTGTCTCGTTTGGTGCACGCTTTCTGTGTTTTGCCGTCGGTGGGCGGGCCGAGCGGGTGGTGTATAAATTCAGCAGGTGACGACATAGCCGCAACTGGGCCACAGAGCTACTGACCGCGGCAGGAACACCACGGGAGGGAGAGGTAGAGTTGGGGAGATTCGGAGAGAGAGGGAGGGATGTGAGATGGCAGCTGCATCATCCATTGAGCTCAATGATGTTTGCGGTGGACCGGCGAGCCATTCATTCAGTCTCCCGGTGTCCCTGATTCTGTGCCGAGAGGGCCATTCTGTTGGTGCAATCTCGCCGCCTGAACGCCGTTTGCAGAGTTGCTCAACCAATTCCGCCGAGCGGCTCAAGCTGGTTTGCTCTGCCGTCGGCACACTTTGCCCATTCGGTCACGCGGTCCGAGCTTGATTCTCCGGCCGCACCCAGATGGCTGAGGTGCTTGTCAATTTGGCTGGGAGTCCTTCGCCTTTCTCTCTTCATTGGGGCATGTCAGTCCTCTGTTGCCCCCACTCTTCACGCCTGGTTCTCTCAGGTGACCCGAAACCTGCCCCGGGTTAAGTATTGAGTTTTTTGCCCAATGATTTTGCTGGTTACGTTTTTACAACGTCTTAAAGTCTTATTTCAGTGACTACCTTATATGTTCCTCTTCGCGCAGTCATGTGACTGTCATTGTAGTTACGTACTCAGGACCGCGTTGCGTGTAATACAGCCGGTGTATGAGCGTGGACCTTATCTGCCAAACCTCATGACCCGCTGTAGACTACTTGGCCGGCGGGAGTATACGGCGGGAGGTAGGGGAGAGTGGGGCAAAGCGGCCACCCGGGGCAAAGCGGCCATCCATCGTTTTAGCCCTCCACAGCTGGCGTCAGTTCCAATTTATGATTTCCAATTATACTTCTCTTTACGGTCGTTCGAATGAGCCAGACCGGGGGTTTCAGGCCCATCGCCATTGTTCTGTGAAACACGGAAAAGCATTTCTTGCCAGGTTACCAATTATGTTTACAATTTTTAAATGTTATTTTATTCCATAACCGTTTGGAATTTTTATAAGCGTTTTTGTCCATGCATTGCGTGGTTATCGTACATGCCTTCTACCAATTTTAATGCTTTTTACCCCACTTATAGCTGAGCTGGAATATTTTTGTCTCGGACGGTATGCGCGGGGCAAAGCGGCCGGGGCAAAGTGGCCAGCCCCCAATTGGCCATAAGTTGTTTCCATCTGGATAAAAACATTATTTATATTCAAATGTGTCGTCATGCATTCATCTTGGCCACTTTTCGGTTACATGAGTTACCAAATTATGAAATTAAATGTTTTTCCACGAAAATTCTTTCTTTGTTTAGCAATAGGTGGGAAGATAACAAAGTAAACATCCATCTTCCCTTAAACCTTGTCACCATCAAATACCCTAGTCGTGCATGAGGCAACTATTCTGTTTCTCATATCGGGACTTGAGAAGTCGCCAGTGGCCGCTTTGCCTCAGGGATGGGGCAAAGTGGCCAATATGCTATAGGTTTAAAGTTTTGTCAATATCTCCCATATGTGAACGCCTTTGGAAATGAAACGCAGTTGGAATAAAAGACAATTTAATAGGGATCACATTGGTATAGAAAGAATCTTTCCAAGTTTAAAAATCAAGCGTCGGCATCGTTAGAAACGTTAGGGTGGCCGCTTTGCCCCACTCTCCCCTACGAAGCGGCGGCGTTTTTACAATGTTTGCCCGGCTGGCCGATAGTGGATTGGGAGCACACGTACCGATTTCAGGTACCGATTTCAGAACGGTGAGGGAGGGTACTCCTTCGGGTCGGGTATCCATCTCAGTGGGGAACACGAGGTTAGCGGCTGCCTCTCCTGTTTCCTCTTGCCTGTCTTATGTTTGTCTTAGTGAAACTCATAATTGAGTATTGATTTTTTTTTCTGGCGGACTTGCAGTGGAGTCAAGATGGAATGAATAACATTACCAGGTGGTTCTCTCGCCCTTTCGTTGTACGTCGGCTTATCACCGGTCTTTGGGTCAGTGAGCGGCTATATTTAGGCCACAGACGGCGGTCAGGTACCCATCGCTTCCTCCTTACTCGTTCTATCTCCCACGTGAGTCTGTGAACGCTACTGCTGCCGGTACCGACAGGTGTCCCTGAGTCATCTGTCCCAGCCCGTCTCCGTGGGAACGGTCCGGTCGGGCGGCTCTCTCCTCGCCGAGCCGTTCCCGACCACTGCCACCGTGTGTCATTGCCGCCGTGCCGTCCTGTACGCGCCACTGCCGCTCCACTTCTGGGTCACGTTGACGGGAGACTCCGTTCGCACAAATAGCTACGCGGCAGCTGGTGACCGGTGGCACTGGGATGGTTGATGAATTTGTCGGGCGATAGAGAACCTGAGCTTGCCTCATGGAATGACTTCTGGCACTTGTTTGATTTATTTGTTTTGTTGGCTAGGCCTTTCGGTATGACGAGACGAGACGAGGCGAGTCTGTCGTTTGCCATATTAAACATTTTGACTTTTGACCCATTTGTTGGCAATTGCACGATTCGTCAGAGAGCGTCAACGTGTCTGTGAGGCAGATCCCGGTTCACTCAGATGAGCCGCTATGAATTTCTCACCCGTGTTTTCTCCTCTAGCCCGACTGACCCGTGGCTGCGTTCTGTTTCAGTCTGTGATCGAGAGCACCGCCTCCTCGGACAGCCTCGGGGAGCGGTCCGTGTCACCAGACGGCTCAGACGAGTCGGCCGACCGACCGCGCTCACTCAGTCCTCAGCCGCCTCAGGTCATCCAGGCGCCGCCGCGGGCCAAGAAAAGGGCCGCTCCCAAACCGCCGCAAGTCAATGGGGTACGTACTACCTACGTACGTACTACGTATGTGTCCCGTCTTAGTTCCGTCCGTTCCGTTCACATCTGGACCTAAAGGTGGTGGCCATTACTCGACCTGCCATTGGGTCGCTGGACCGACCAGTCTTGCGGGCCTCAGTCCTGCTGTAATCCGTGGGCTTGGCCTGGCGTTGGTGGGCCCCGGGCAGCGTTTGGTGGCATTGGTGGGCCCCAGGCACCGTTTTCCTCGGGAGGGGCTGCGGCGATGGTGCTGTCATGCCGCCCGCACCCCTCGGACTACCTAGAAATCGGCCCGATCCGCAGTGGTGCGGTCCTGCCCCTCCCTTCCACCCCCGACCGGTGAACCTTACTGCACTTGCGGAACTGGATGGGGTGGGCGGTGCTTATTGAACTGTGCCGATATCATGACTGCGGTTAATCGTATTAATGTCACATCGGTCTTAATTGTATGTTGACTTGATAGTTGTTGACGATTTATAACCACAATTTGCGAAGGAAGTGTAAAAAATGGTTACTACGACGTTAGATATGGGGTTTAATGACCTATTGTCAATCGAAGATAGCTGATAATTCGTTTAGGCGGGCTCAACAGTCGATCGAATAACCGACAGGTCTCCCGAAAGCTTTTGCTCCCGTTTCGTTTTATAAGTCATCTCAACAGTGGCTTAGCTCGTTCATGACATGAATTCTTGTTCTGTCGGCAGTCGGGTACCGGTCGTGGCGGCCCGCCGCCGGCAGCCGCCCCCGCCCCCGCCCCCGCCCCCGCCCCGGTGGCCGCCCGACCGCCCAGTGAGCTGTCTGAGGGAGCCGAGTCGGTGGAGTCTCGACACAGCTCCGACAGCTCCGGATACCACGAGGCCGGGCTCAGCGACGCCCCCGACAGGTGAGCTAAACTGAGCTATGGATGAGCTATAGAAGCTCCGGATACCACGAGGCCGGGCTCAGCGACGCTCCAGACAGGTGAGCTAAAATGAGCTGTGGGTGAGCTATAGAAGCTCCAGATACCTCAGGCCGGGTTCAGCGACACTTCAGACAGGGGAGCTAAACTGAGCTATGGGGGAGCTATAGCAGCTCCGGATACCACCAGGCAGGGCTCAGCGACGCTCCAGACAGGTGAGCCAAACTGAGTTACATTTGGGCCATGTAAGCTCTTACTGTGGGTTATCACACATAAAATGCTCACAGTATTGTCAGCAAAGTTGGGCTAAGAGGAGCTACTGGTATGCATGCAGCTACAGGAGACTCTGAGCCAAATGTGCACTTTTTAGCGTCAACATTGGCCAACCTTGTATGCCTAGCAAACCTTATGCAGCCAAACAGAAGCACAGGGCTCCAGTTCACCGGGGTGGGCCGTGAAACTCGCCTGTGATTTCAGTCTGTCGTTTTTCTCACGCTGATAAGTGTTAAATGCCGGCTTCACCGCCTCGCGAGCCGGATGTAGACCTTCCCGGCCGACTGTATGGCCGGTCTGTCCCGAGCCGACGCGAACGAGCAGACATTCGCACAACCCGTCTGTAGAATTAGCGGCTAGAATTATCGGCCGAGTCTCCCATGATAGCGTTTAGTGCATCCGGAAACACTTCCGAGGCGGCATTTGTAGTTACCGGGGCGGCACTGGCGGTACTGATGGCTTAGGGCGGCATTGGTGACTTAGGAGCTTAGGTGACATGGGGGTAGTCGTTGCCCGAGCGCTTCTGGCGCCGCTGGAGCGTGCTACAGACGTGTTTGGATGGTATGCTCGGTCGGCTGGGTGCCGGTAATAAGGGCCGACCTTGAACACTGGTTCAGATCGATAATTGATATGAGGGCGCTGTGTTTGTATTGGAGCTACTGGGTCGGCCTATCTCCCCTGCTGGATCAAACTAATATATTTCAGGCTTCAAGGGCTAAAAATAGGAGCTAATCTTATAGCTCGGTTAGTGATTGAAGTGATGCGAGGCACTGGGCTGTTGTGTGCGAACATGTTAGATAGCCATTCTTTTACCCGTCTCACTGCTGAGCAGTGAGCAGTAACTAACCGGTTGTTCACTCTCGTTTCAGTCCAACGGAGCGGGCGCCCGTGTCTACACAGCCGCCCTCCAACCTGGGATCAGTCACATCGTACTCGACATCGAACCTGGTCACCTCCAACCTGACCCAGGTCAACTCAACGTCGACCGTCTCCCTGTCATCGGCCATTCGAAAACGACGGGCGCCACCGCCTCCAGCCATCCCTCGCATCGCCGAGGACCCCCAGTCGCCCCCGCCGCGACAGACGGCCGCCGCCGCCGCCCCCGCAGCCACAGCCTCCGTAGCCAGTCAACCCGTAGAGCAGCAGCCCCGGCAGTCAGGTCAGTACCGACCGCCTTGTAGCGGTGTCGTCACTAACCCGCCTGAGGGAGTCGGGGGTCACAACGGTGCGCTGTTGACGGAACTGACGGCTGCCGTAGCGGCGCGCCGGGTCGATTGAGTTGTAGAATGTCCCCGTATTGTGCCCAGCTCGCATCGCCCCGCCTCGCCAACTAACCTCTGTTCTGTTTTAACCGGGTGTATGTCGCTCCCTTCTAGGATTCGAGCGCTGCCTGAACTAGCCCGAGGGTAACTGACTGTTTTGTTTTCTCACTTTTCTCACCCGGTGCATGCTTTCTCTTCCCCTCTGTCCCCCTCTGTTTTATGTACGCTGCCACGCTCACTGGTGTTGGGTTAGCTCTGCACGCTTCTCCGACCACTGTTTCTCTTTTAGAGCTAGCCGCGTCCCGTAGTGCCAGCAGCGCGGCGGCGCCGGCGGCGGCGGGGGCGGCGGCCAGGGTGCCGCCCCAGCCGATGCGCAGGAGCTCGCTGGGAGCGCGCCGACCTCAGCCGCTGCCACGACACCTCCCGGTGGCTGAGACGGACCTGGTGCCTCCTCCGCCCGGGTTCGGGGACCCGCCCCTACCGGCCAGTGTGACGGCGGTGCGGCTTCGCGAGGGTCTGGCCCGCTCCGGTCAGCCCAGACCCGCCAGCGTCGGCGGACGACCGAGCACACTGCAGCGCAAGAAGCGGGCGCCGGCGCCGCCGACCCCGCCGGCGACCGGAGCGACCAGCCTGCCCGTCTCCCGTGCCTCCTCGGTCCGCGGTGCGGTCAGCAGGGCAGAGTCGGCCCGAGAAGCGGTCTCCCCGGCTCCGACACCGGTCTCGCGCACCAGCAGTCAACAGACCGGCTCAGTGGACCTGACTGATGTCACCTCGCTGGACTCGTTCCGGAGCTGGTCGGAGGACAGTGAGCCCGGCCGCGGCCGTCGGCAGCTGACCCTCTCCAGTGGCGACAGTGACGAGTACGGCGGCGACGGCTGGGACTCTGAGTTGGCCGACCGGCCGGCAGATGACAGTGATGAGTCGGCGGGGCCCGGCAGCCCGCAGTGCAATGTGATTCACCGGTGGCGGAATTCGACAAACCTAGATCAGCTGGTGGAGGATGCACGGGGCCACACCCAAGGTCAGGGGCTGCATGAACATAAAACACCTAACGGGTGGTGGTGGTGGTGACACTAATCAACGCTAGCACACATTATTTCCACGATTGCGTTATTGTATCATTTCCAGTAATTATTTCTCTAGCACCGCTTCATTTCGTTTCATTTCCATGAGCTCTTTTTACGTCTTTTCTCATGCCTTGCTGTAAACATTTATTTAGAAGACTTAATTTATTACATTCCTATTTATATCGTTTTGCGGGCTGAACAGGGAGCCCAATATCCCTCTTATCCCTTTGGCCGTCTATCCTTGCTCTCGATTCACGATTCACTCGGTGCTGTTTTCAGAGGAGGTCGAGCCGTCGCCGGGGTCGCCCAGGTCGTCCGCCTCCAGCCCGGAGCGGACACGGCTCAAGGCGCCGCTGAGACAGGACTCAGGCACCTCCTCTACGGAGACACTGACTGCTGAGAGCGCGGCCGGCTCCGACCCGGCCCCGGCCCCGGCCCCGGCGCCGGTGGAGGAGACTGGTAAGAAGGAGGTGTCGGCACCGGCGGCAGACAGCGTGCGGACGGAGACGGCGGAGACGGAACAGACCAGCAGCGGACCTGCGACGACGGAAAGGAGCGTGGATCATCCATCACCCTCACCGAAAAATGAACCTGAAACAACAGAAGACGATACGAAGACTGAGCTCGAAACTCCAACTCCGCCGAGTGAGCTTGTTGAAGAGAAATCCTTGTCGAATACCGTGTCAGAACCCCCAGCTGTGGTTACACCTGAGCCTGAGCGGCCCACAGTTCCGGAGCCTCCCCCAACTCAAGTGACGCCTGCTGCGACTCCAGCGGCAGCCCCGAGCTCTGAGAGCGAGCCGGAGGTCTCAGTCCAACCACCACCTTCCAGCCCAACGCCGGCTCCGGCGGCCGAACTTGCACAGACCACGGAGCGTGCTAAGACCGTGACACCCCCACTCACTGTCGAAGAGTCCCTGCCCCAGGAGGTCGTACCCGCCGTCCGTGATGCCCCTCACACCGAGACCGCTGCTCCAACAGTCACTGAGACCTCAGCTCCAGTCGTATTGGAAGCTCCGGCAGCTTCTGCACGAGCTGTGGAAGCTTCTGAGACACCAGCAGCTCCGGCTGTCGATGCTGAAACTCTGCCGGTTGAGTCGCGTCAGAAAGAGTCTACCCCTGCCCCGATAGCTGAGCCAAAGCCTGAGATGAGATCCCCGGAGCCAGCCCATACAACCGAGCTTTCAGAGGAGGACGATGAGACTGCGCTGCTTCAGCGAGAGGTGGACTCTGCTCTGTCATGTCTGGACCTGGACCTGGATGAAGCATTGGCGGAGTCGGCTGCCTTCACAGAAAGCAGCAGTCTTCAGACGCAGAGCCGCCTCCCGCCGACAGAGACAGAGACGGAGGCGGAGACGGAGACGGAGGCGGAGACAAGTCAGGAGACTGAGGCGGAGACGCTGCCAGTGGTGGTCCGGGAGACGGCTAAGGCTGCGCTGGAGACGCCGGAGCCGGAGCAGCCGCAGAGAACGGTTCTAACTTCCCGACAAACTGTGCAGGAGACCCGAGAGGTGATCGAAACACTGTTACCGGTGGCGCGCGTGACGGAATCCAAGGCGGTGCCGTCCCCTACGCTCCCCACGGCGACGGTTAGAACACAGAGTGAGGAAGTGATCACTGTTACAGAACGTCAGACGACAGCGCCATCTACTGAGACGACCAGAGAACCCGCGGCGCCGCAGCCGACTCAGACGGCGAGGGCTGCCGAGAGGACTGAACAGAGCGTGGAGTCGGTGGCGGCCAAACGACGCACGCCGAAACTGGGCGCCACCAGCCGTCAACATCCGGTGGAAGTGGAGGAGGAAGTCGTCGTGGAGCGGGTGGAGAAGGTGCAGCGGAACAGGGTGAGTACCGGTGGCTGCTTCTCAGCCCTGGGGTTGTGTGTGTGAAGTGACTTGTGGGTGTTTGTTGACTGTTATGGCAGCTAGGGGTTTTGTTGTATTTAGTCGCTTTGGATGGCTTTTGTGTTTGTTTTGTGTGTTGTTTACCTCAGGGAGTGTGAAGTGAATGAACTGGCCGCTGAGTCCTACCGGTGACGATTTTCAGATGACCCCCAAGGACATCAAGCTGCACATCGAGCGGAAGCTGGCCTCATTTGATCAGCCTCCGCGCTCTCCGTCCCAGCCGAGTCAGCTGATCAGTCCCCCGACCTCCGCCCCGGCCGCGGGCGGCGCTGACTCCCCGGACTGGCAGTACCGGCTGCCGGAACCACCTACTCCCTTCCAAGACCCCGCGACCTCGGCCGGTCGCACTGCACCCCTGGAGGCTCCACTGGAGTTCCAGGACAACATGACGGTTACCTCCAGCGAGCCCAGTGAAGCTGGAGAGTTCGCGGAGGCCACAAATGCACCACTGGTCGAGCGGGTCGGTCGCTCTGACCCGGCCCGACCGACGACCGACCAATCAGAGGCCGCCCCGGCGAGCGGCAGCCAATCAGAGGCCGCCCCGGCGAGCCGCGACCAATGGGACGGCGGCCGGTCCGAGCGGCCCGCCAAACCCGAGAGGCGCCGCTCCAGCGAGCGGCTGGCGCGTCAGATGAGCTTCTCGATCGGAGCGTACAGTCAGCGGGAGCCGACGGGGACGGAGGGTAGTGGATCTGCTGGCCGGCCGCAGAGAGCTGACTCGTTCCACTGTCAGAAAACCACCGCCGTCAGCGCGTCTCAGGTGAGAGTGGGGACAAAGTAGGGTGTGGGTTGGCTTACGAGTAAATTGGGGTTATTCAGCTTTTATCGGTCTCTGTGTATCATAGGAGTATGCAATTGCCGGGCGTTCTAAAGTCTTTTTTTCTTTACATCTTCCATATCACTCACATGGGTTACATTGACCATACCTGCAATACAAGCCATATCCCTGGCTGTGCAATACTGGCTGCTTCTATTTTTGATCGAAATTGTTCGTGCCGCAAATAGCGCGCCAAGGCATTGGTGTCTCAGAAGGCACATTCATCATCACCTGGTTCACCATCCTTATCTACCTTATTTCCTTCACCTTATTTCCTCCGCAAGCCAATTCTACTTGCCACACAGACCGCCGCTATTGATAGCCACAGTCCGCTCGTACCGGTCCACGCCCCTGTTCCGATCCGCTCAGAGCCCGTCCGTGCCAGGGCGCCTCTCAGTGTAGGTAATAGCCGCCCGCCCGCCCCTGAGACACGCACGGCCTCTCGGCTGGGCCGTGCTGACCTCAGGATAGCGTGAGGCTGACTGGCGGGCGGCCAGACACGAACCAAACTTTCACCAGAGGCGGTCCGCAAACCGTCTGGGAGTGGAGAGTGTCCGGGATGGGCAGAGTGGTCAGTGAGTGACAGTGATAGGTTAGTCTGTGATTGTAACCCCAGGATACTTTGATTCAACTTTAAACTATTAATTAGCGCATTGGCAGTTCGAGATTAAGCATTTAAATATATTCTACCTTTTACTACCCGGGCTGAATGTAACTACTACTTACGTCATATTCTACATAATGACGTCACCGCCAATATTCTGACGTCCCTCCGTTGACCGGCAGGTGACCTCCGGTGCCGTCTCGTCTACCGCCGATCCGGCCGGCCCGGAGATGACCGCGCGGCGGCCCGTCAGCCGGCGGCGCAGCTCGGACGCCGCGGCCGGGTCACGGGGTCAGAGGTCAGCCGAGACGGACCGACCCGCGGCCGCCGAGCCGGTCCGGCCGCCCAGGAAGTACGAGGTGAGGCTGCTAAGGACGGAGGTGGGAGGGGTGGGGGTGGAGGGAGGTTGGGAAGTAGATGGGATGTTGTGATTGATGAATGTTAATCATAGCTCATAGCTCAGTTTGTAGAGATGGGTTGACGGAACGGTTTCGATCTTGGCCCATTTAGCGACCAGAGCTCCAGCCAAAGACGTTCGAACGACACCCTGACCGTCTTGCTCCCGCTCTGATTTCAGTTGAAGTTCAACAGCTCCAAGTCGTACTCCATGCTGAACCTGAGTAACGGTGGTCTGACCATGCCCGCCGAGCGACCGTCGCCAAACATGAACAAAACGCAGAGCCAAACCGATCTAGCAATGGGTGAGCACCGCCACATCATTATTTAAGTAATTGTAGGTCTGGAGCATCACAGCATATCGTCGTCTGATAACAGTAGAATGCGTGGAATACGAGCATTGAACGTCCCAGTGTTATAAAAGATGAAGCTGATCTTGGCACGGTAATTACTGTGACCCTTCTATTTTCAAATGGTTTTCCTTATAAATTGAGTTTCAGCATTTTGCCTCAAGGGACACTCGGCCACCGAACTGTCCGATTATAGTAACATTCGCAGCCCGTTACCCTGAAAATGGCGCCGAACAGTTTTTGTAACGTTAGTTTCGTATTCCTCCGGCAGAGAGCGAGGTGAGCGACATCCAGTCTGAGTTCCTGAAGCTGCAGCGCCAGTTCCTGCACTGGCAGCAGCAGCTGCTGCAGAACCAGTCGATCTTACAGACCAAGGTGGCTCCGCTGGCCGCCCGGCCGTCAGCCGCCGCCAGTCTGCAGAGTCTGGAGGTACGCAGGCCGTCCGAGCCCCTGCCGCCTCCACCGCCAGTCTGTGTGGAGAGCGTGGCGAGACGGCGGCCGTCGGCACAGGACGAGTCCCCCCGCCGGCGACGGCAGGCGCCGACCCCGCCGACACCGATACAGCTACCGCCGACACCGGTGTCACCTCCGGCACCTTTGACACCGGCTCACCCGCCGGAGGGTCGCGACACGCCTCCTCCGGCTGTGCCCGCGCCGGAGGAGTTCAGCTCGCCTTCCCCTGCTCCGCCGGCGGAGCCTAGCACGTCTTTCTCTCCAGTTCTTCAGAGCACGTCTTCGCCCTCTGTCTCGGCACCGCTGCCCGGCGCCGTCTCTGGCCCATCTGCGGCACTCAGCTCGTCTTTGACTGTCTCTCTATCACCCAGCACGTCTCATGTCCTTCCCGTGGATCAGAGCACGACTCCACAGGTCCAGAGCACGCCGCCACAGGTCCGAAGCACGCCGCCCGTGGTCCGGAGCACGCCGGTGGCCGTGCACAGCACGCCTCTGGCCTCTGTGGCCGCCGTGCGGGCCAGCCGGCCGACCGGGCGCCGACGCACGCCGCCGCCCGTTCCGGCCAAACTGAGCCCTCAGCAACTGGCCAGTCGTCGCAGACAGGTGCAGATTGGCACCCCGAGGGTCCGATCGGTGGTGGAGGCCGCGCGGCCAGCGGGGACGATCAGCAGCTGGAGGAGGGGAGCCCTACCGCTGTGGACCGCACTGACTGGGATGAAGGATTGAGGAGGGCTCACTAGGATTCGGGCTTGGCATGGGGCGGAGCTTTGACTGTTGGTGCTTCTGCTGCTGGGTTTCTGTGCTTCCCATGGTGGTGGCTATTGGCTTGCTTCATGTTCGTTTCCTGTACAAAGGCGCATGTGGATGTTGTTATTCTAGTCCTGCTCCCCAGCTGTATATTTTCAGCGGAAGGCGACTCCTTGGTGCTCGGAACTTACCTTGTTCCATAGACACGCATGCTAACAGGTATGGTCCTGACAAGTGAAATGATTATGGCGGAAGATATGATGATGAGGTGTAAGGTGTAGGCCGCTGGAGCTGTTCATAGGCTGCTGTGCCGGTTAGATTCATCCGTGCTATTGTGCTTGTGTATTGCAAGAAGACGCAACTATTGTAACCATCTTTTGGTATTTTAGTGAACATTGGTTTAAACTCAAGGCACTGATTCAATTAAAATAAGTTGTTCTTACGAACGTACTTAGCTTATGCATTGTATCGTTGTTTGCCGTTAGCCTCGGCTATTCATCAACATGTCTCCAAGTCAACCATCCCTACCAAGCACCCAGCCTAGCCATTGCCTCCTCTGCTCCCCGCTAACCCGCCTGTGGTCGTGCCCAGGTGATTGAGGAGCTTCGCCGCCGAGTCCCGGAGCAGGAGGAAAGCCCGGACCCGCCGGCCGACTACTCTGGACGCTCCCAGTCTCTGCCGCGCGGCTCCAGCCTCCAACACCCCAAACTGAGCCTGGCCGCCGAGCAGCGGCGCTCCGAGCCGGAACCGGAGCTGGAGAGGGAGAGGGAGCGGGAGCCGGAGAGAAGCACCGCCCGGACCCGGGAGCGGGAGAGGACCCCGCCGCGGCAGCGAGCGTCCACACTGGAGCGGAGGCAGGAGTCTGAGCCGGAGCCGACCCGGCAGAGGGCGTCGACTCTGGAGAGGAGGCCCTCAGAGACCAGGTGAGGGAGGGAGAGGGAGGGTTAGTTAAGACTCTAGATTGAAGGGATACGAGAGGAAGATTAAAAGAGGAAGATGAATCTTACTCGATCTATGTAATTTAGATCAACACTGAGAGTCGGACGAATGGTATTTGTTCGCACGCCGTTTGCAGAGACGGGGAGTTGTCGTCGAACGGGCTGTATTCACTGCCGTGGTGCCGTAACTGCACACAAACAAAAGAAAACATCTCAGTTTCGGTCATGTCAACACCACATTCATGACGTCATACCATATTTCTATCATGAATCGTTACTTATCATACAAATACAATTTCCCTTTGTTTATATCTTATCTGACGCGTTTCAAATATATTGTTTACTAACTTTCGTTTCTTATCTCGGAACAACTTTAAATATAAAAATGCAAACACTTTCAGTCGCAGTGACAAGATATGATTGCATACAATTTCTTACAGATAATGACAGTCTAAATCCCCAGTTCAGTTCATACCGACAAGTTTTGCCTCCCATGCGAAGTCTCAGCGTGCAAAACGGGTTCTTGGTCGCACCAACTTCGACCTCGTATAAGCGCCATTAGCACAACGCTGAAATGCACACAAAAGAGGAAAATATATCACAACTGTACCGATATCCCATATCGTAAGCGAATAAATAACACACAACTATCAGAATTATCGCTCATATGCGTTTGTGGTCGATCAACAAGCTCAACAAAAAATTATCCACAAATTTGGCGCAGCGCCAGATTGCCTTCGCAGCATCGCCATTTCGTTTTTATCATGTGAAGCTGCTTAATAATCAACACATATCGAAATGACACACTTACAAGTTACATACAAACCAATACCTGTATCGAAATATCACTCACCCGTTGATATTCTACATAAAAACAAACACAAAGGCACAGACCACTGACCAACCGGCCATTCGTCCCCCACGTGAGCCGGCCGAGCGCCGCGCAGCGGCCGTGACCTTGACAAGGTTCGGCCTTCAGCCGGCTCTGAGTAGAGCTGCCGCTTTACAGAAACACGAGAGCGCCGGTGCGCCGACGAGGCGGCGCCAACAGCATTGTTTCTTAGTGTTGTGGCGGTCTGTTTTCTGACTCCCCTCTCGCTGTTTTCCAGAGCTGAGAAGCGAGTGCCGTGGTCGCCTCCGAAGGTAGCGCTGGGCACATGGGCGGAGCAGTCCCGACAGAGTCAGGTGCAGCTGAAGGAGGACCGCGACTACGTGCTGCGCCAGGGCCCGCCGCCGCAGTCTCAGCAGGCGGCCCCTGAGCCGACCTCCGAGCAGGCCACCCGCCGGCCGACGGCCGTCTCCGTCCGGCCCAGTAAGAGTGTGACGGTCACCTCTCTGGGAGCGCCCCCGCCGCCGGTGGGGGTCCCACTGCCTCAGCCGGCGCCGCAGCCCGTCAACGGCCAGCAGAGACTCTCGGCAGTCGCCAAGGTGCGACACAACGAGTCTGTACCGGCTCCGACGGCCGTGCTATCGTCAGCGGTGAGGGGACCCTCGACCCGCCAGCCGCCAGCGTTCTCCATCTCCGACTCGAAGCCGTCTCAGCCGGGCCGCGGCGTGGCGGCGGCAGCGGCGGCCGGCCGGTTCACCTCAGTCGTCTCGCTGACTGATGAACCTCGCCAGCCACTCTCAGTATCAGTCCAGGTGTCCAAGACGGCGGCCCGGGTGGGCGCAGCGACTGCGGCGGCGCGGCCCGCCGAGTCCACCACAGTCACCTGCCGCGTGTCGCCGCCCGACCAGACTGCAGCGCAGCCGAGGACGGTGCCGAGTGTGGTGAGCGTGACCAGGAAGGATTCGGCCACCTCCACGGAGCTGTCTGCCCGACAGGCGGCGTCGGAGGTGTCGCGCAGGAGCCGGAACCAGCCGGTCGTCAAAGGTGAGGGCGGAGAGTTCGGTCATTCAGTCGTTGCGAAGTGGGCTGAGCGGGTGATGATGTTTGAGCTCTTGAATTGAAATTGAAGTTTGAGCTGATGAGTTCACAGATGATGAATTTTGGCAGGTCTCTGGCTGTGCAATGTGTGCATCATGAAGTTAGTCATCAATAAATGCAGGCGCTTCAATTTAACTTTTTTGTACAGTGTATGCTCCATAACTGTGTCATTGGGGCATGCCCTCATCTAATGCCGTCTAATCCCCGAGCAGTGAGCATGACGCGACCTGACCTTTCTTGGATAAAACTGACGTGATGTTTGTGCCTCTGTCAGGTTTCCGTCAGCCGGAGGTGCCGGCGCCGGTGCCGCCCCCGCCGCCGCCGCCGGCTCCGGTGCTACCGGCGGCGTCCGAGGCGGCAGCGGGCCGCGCGCGTCTCAAACCTGTCTCGGCCGGCCGGCCAGTGGTCCCCAAACTGAACCCTCGAGAGGAACTGATGATTGCTATTCGGGAACACGGCGGACTGAAGAAACGGGGAGGAGTGCGACCTTGAGCGACAGGTGAGCACGGGTTTAACGTCACGCCAGCGTCACGCATCGCCAATGGCCGCTGAGCAGGTGGTGCTGACTGCTGATGAACTGCGCTCTGCTGACATTTGGCATTCAATTGTTCCAGATGACATTGTCCCTTGACCCCTGATGGCTTTCTTCCTTTTGCTGATTGTTTTCTGTGTGATTTGAATAACAGAGTTGTCTCGTGTTTTTCAGACTGGATCAGAGTGCAATATCCGTATAGTGAGTGAGAGGCCGGCTGTCTGTCCGGCCGGTCAGTGCCTTCATGGACGTCCCGCCGGAGCTGGGAGCGGTCAGCACGGTCTGCTGGGACAGCCGAGTGCTGGCACTGGCGTCCCGTGTCCGGCTGAAGTTCGACCGAAGTTCCAGAGCGCTATCCGCAGGCCGGAGCGGCCGCCAATGCAGCTGAACAGTGAACACTGAACATGTACCCGCCTGACTCCGAGTCCGAGTCCGGTGACTCGGCGCGCCTCTGAGTCGCTGGAGGCCCGCCGTGATCACCAACGGACCTGCCGCGCGCGCAGCTCATTTTAGAGCTGCCAGTTATCGCCCCATGTAGTCCGCCACAACCGCCGCCGAGCGCCTTCAGCCGCTATGTCCCGATATATACCGGTGCTGTGAAGCGCCGAGCGCGGTCAGTTCGAGTCGCGGCCGCCAGGTGTCGGCCCTGCGCCGCTGCTTTCCGCCGCCGCCGCCAGGGGCGCCACCGTCGCCGGCGGCCGCGGCCTCCAGTGCTCACATTTATGTAACGGTCGCGCCGCGCCCGCCGCCGCTGCTGCCGCTGCTGCTGATACTTTTCGAGGCCGTACTTATGTTTATGTGATACGTGGGTGAGTGCGTGGGTGTGCGTGTCGAGTGTAGCCCGTTGGCCGTGTGTTTTGGTAAGGCGCTGGGGCCGGCTTGGGAATGGTTCACCCTCGACCACCCCTCCCCGCGGCCCCGGCGCCATAACCCTGTTATACTACCACTAATCCAGTGTTATTATTGAAATGTATATGCGACAAGCCATAATAAATATATTGCAATGATTTAATAATTGGTGAATTTCTATAACTGTCTTAGAGCGACAGGAGGGAAGCTGCAGGGTAGCAGTGGGCCACACACCCTATCAGTCCAAGCATTCAAAAGGCCTTTGAATCATTATTACTCTTCAACGGCTCGTTCAAGGGTAATTACTAGCGCCCACCGCCTCGCAGTGGTGGAATGGTGTGCGAAATCCGCGGATCGCTACAGAATCGAACACTCATGGCTCTTGTACTGGCTGGAGCTCGGTTGAGGGCAGACCGAAAAACCGACACGATCGCCGATGGCCATCCGCAGTTCGCATCCGCTTATAACCAGCACAGACTGCAGTGCAGTCTTTTGGCCAGGCTGAGCGGGCCGCGATACTTGCTGAGCATTCATCGGACAAGGCAAACAGACATACCATTCGCAATCTAGCCACACTTAAAGGGTAGACTAGCGCCCCACTATATTCCATAGATTGCTGATTCATCGCCTCTTCTCACCATCCACTCAAGCAGACACCGTTTTCATTGGCCAATTGTTCATATATTAACGATTTATTTGCTTATATACAGTACAGTGTGACAGTGAGCTCTGAGCGCTGCGGCGGCGGCGGCGGCGCTTCAGTAGCCCACAGATATCGCGGGCCCGCTAAAAACGATACAAACAGAGCCATATGACCCAGCATACTCGGGCAGACCCAGCCCGGCACAGACGGCCCACAAGGTCAGGTCACATGCCATAGACTTGCCATCAAATAAACGGCAACGGCTTCCACGACTGACGGATAAAATACCGACTGTTCCAAGGGTGTCAGCATAAGTATGGATAAGATCCATGGAGGAACTTTAAAGTGACCATGACTGTTACCTTTGTGAACACTATCAGGACATGTTAATATGATCAGGCAGAGCAAGTGTGGTTCCATCATATGGGACCAGTTGCGAAATGGGAAAGGGAAGAAGACCATTATTATGGAGTGTTACAGGTGAGAAGAAGAGTGAGGTGCGGGGAAATGCTTTGCCTCAGAAGTCGGTCATTAAAGGACAGGTATTTTACACTATGAGCCTCATAGGCGAAGAACAGGTACTGACGTTGGGAAGAATGCAAGAAAGATGCCAGCATCCCGTTCATCGCCACCGACGATGAGGTGCCTGAACGTTTCTAGATGCCGCTATAGAATTCAGGACACGATCACCTAAAAACAAGACGAATCCTTACTGAGCACAATATGTGACCTGCTTGAACGCCCCTCCCACCCCCACGCCGATTTGTTTGCCCCAATCACAATGTATGACACTGCTCCGGCCCGCTGGCACCGCCCGTCCTCAGGGACGCGAGGACGGGTATCCTTCCGCCCCGGGTCGGATCTTGCTCTCACAGACTGGACTCTAACTCTCTCACCCACCGCTCACACTCTCACTCGCAGACCCGCGTCCGAACGACACTGATTTGTGCTCTCGCATATGATCACAGCTGTAGACGGCCACCCTGCCGCCGCCGGGCCCGGCCTCGCCGAGCTGGGGGCGCTCCTTTCTTTCCGCCCCACCGCGGGATAAAGCGGACCGTACTCTGAACCCACGAGACCACGCCGTGGACTGAGCACTCAGCGCCGCACCCGCGCCAGGCTCACACTGTCAACAATAACAACATGGTGGCCACTGCCGGCTAACGCCGCCACTGTATAACACGGGACTCCTCACTGAGCCACACGGCGTCCTGTCTCGCCACTAGGCGGCAGCACCGTCAGCACGGCTTACCGGATGGCCGCGCTACACCGTCTGATTGTATAGGTGGCGCCACCACACTCAGTTCAGTTTGTATAGGTGGCGCTAGGGTTAACACAGCGTCTTTGACCGGCGCTGCACTGTCACCGGCCGGCAGCTCAGGCGTATGAAGTGTTTGACTCGTACATTTTCTTACCGAGCTGCACTTGCGCCGGCGGAGGGGGCGGGGCGGGGGGCCGCTTTCCACGGGGACGCTCTGCGAAAGGGACGGGGTCGTGTCAGTAGGCGAAGTGCAGCCGGGGTGGCGCATCGTGGGTCCAGATATCAATGTAACATTGTTTCAAATATTTGACCACACAAGGACACATTTGAAACGTGAAAGCTGCAGATTGGGTACACACTAATGAACTCATCTGAATGAAAACAGCATCGTTCATTTAAGTCTAACAGAAGTGACCTCATTGAGTCATTTTGGATTAGGACGGGTCAACGACAAAATCATGCACAACACGCACAGGTGCATAGGTTTCAGTAAACTGCAACAACAAAGCTAGTGCCGAGCCGGGCCGGAAGGGCGGTAGTAAGGTTAGGTTCAAGACATAGCAACATTGGCGACGGGGAACTCAAAAAGAACACAGCTGGTTCAGGTCCGAGCGCCCTGACCAGGTCAGGACGCTCGGACCCGTCGGCACTAGTTAGTCACGATACGAGCCACAAAACACGGTTTACGTCACACCACATCACAACACAGCATCCCAAACCAGCGCGCAGCCGAGCCGGCGGCCAGCCTGACAGTGTCGATCTCTGAGGGTTCCTCCCCAGGGTTCTCACCCCAACGCCGGTCTCGAGACCAGGGATCCAGCCCCAGCTGGCGGTTGTGACCGTAGCCAACAGGCACCAGCTTCGGAGTGTGTCCGCGACTAAGCACGGGCCAGCTTTCGTTCAGGGGTTAGCTTTGGCATGGATGAGATAATAATGGATTGGTGTCTTCGCAGTTTTTGGCGACATTGAGCTCAGGCCTGCCATCTAGCGGGAGAATTATCGTAAGTTAGGAGCAATCCGAGTGAACGCCGCTGATTAGCATTGTGACACACGGGAGTGTGGTGTAGTAGCGGGCTTGTTGTGCAATTTTTCAAAAGGTTATGTCTATATATGTCAGTAAAAGCGAAGAAATCAATAGATTTATGTGCAGGGTCAGTAATAAGATTGGAAGTTCCATGTTATTTCCTCATTAAATCGTGAAACAGGGAGTTATTGGAGACTTCGCCAGCACGTGTCGTTTTCGCTATTTTTCACATGAGTCTTTATTTGGCCTAAATCAAACAAATTGTCCGATCAAAGAACAAAACGAACGTAAGTACTATCTAATGAAAAACTTAAACGGAATTGCTAACGTCATTGCCGCTCAATATGTCATTCAAGACGCTCTATGAAAAGGACCCAACCGGTGGTGCGTAGTCGATGAAATTTCAGTAACTTTGGCTCCAACTCCGATTCCGGTATCCAAGTATCGACTCCGACTCCTCCGGGTAGAACTGTCAATTCACACAGACTCCGACTCTGACTCCGACTCTGCAGCCCTGGTAAGTCTGTGGAGTGATGGCTTTTCGGTGACGTTCGACTCATACTCGGGCTACAGCTTTTAAAAATCAACCGACTCCGAGTCGGAACAGAACCGCTGGCTCTGACTACAACTTCGCAGCCCTGGCCCAAGATAGCCGCCTAAAACAACTTTTATGTGTGATCTTCTTCGTACATTGTTAATGTTATTTTAAACAAGGGGTGGAAAAGGGAGACGAAGCCTTCGCAAACAAGGATCTCCTGTTGCGAATCAATCAGCTGCTGGAAAAGAAAGGCATAAACACCACGCATCTCATTTCATCGTTTTCCTAACAGCTCTGCACCAATGTAAGCACTGAGCAATGCATGAATGCAGTGCGAGCATCGATGTGACATTTGTGTACCAAGTTTGAGTGTTATCTGTTATCCGCCCAGCCGTTCTTGAGATATGGAAGCGGCACCCCGCACGCGCGCACGTGCAGTAGCACCCCCATAGTGACACATGGAAATGCATTGGCCACTGGGTGCCTAACTGTTGACGAAGTTTTACTGTAATTGGCCCAGCCATTGCGGAGTTACTTTATGTGGAACAATTTCGACACCCCTAAGTTGGCACGTGACACGTGCCGTAACATTAACTAAGATGAAGAAAATCGAGCGAAATTCGGAGAAGAAGGAATAAGCCTACCAAATATGTAAGCGACATATTGTCAAACTGTTGTACCATTGTGAGTAAATGACCATATAAAAGGTCGTACAAGCCGATGGGACTGGGCGTTTCAATACACACCGTCTTACGCATTTTATTTTCGTTATTACCTAAAGGTTGCTTGACGTTTTTGGCTTTCAAGCATTTAAGACGTTTTTGTCGTCTCAGGTCCAGTAAGCTTACCTCCAACTCGTGGGAATATGCACTTCAAGCCAACTAACACACCACACCCACGTGTGTCATAATGCTGAGAGATGGCGTTCACTCGGCTTGCTCCTAACTTACGATAATTCTCTCGCTAGATGGCAGGACTGATCCCAATGTCGCGGATCCCAATGTTAATTTCCACGAGACACCAATCCAGTGTTATATCATCCATGGCTTTGGTTTCAGACTGTTTCAGGCCGTTTCCGATCCCGTCTTATCCCGTCTGATCCCGTCGTTTCCGTCTTATCGAACGGAGCGGGTTTCCCACGGCCTTTCCGGCCCGGAATTCCGGTGTGGCGCTGTGTCAGCGGTCCCCAGCGGCCGATTGCTGATATCCGCCAGCTCAGCAGTCAGCTCAGCAGTGAACAGTCGGCTCAGCGGCCACCCCAGGACCAACTACGAAACCCATCGGAAACACTTCAGCCGCTCTGCGGCAGCAGCCCCACCTACGCCCATCCCAGGGCGCAGTGTCATGGCAGCCTGTGGTTATTTCACACGCAGGACAAATCACTCAGCGGCAGTGCCGGACAGTGGGAGACGGCAACGCACTAGCACTATGAACAAAGCAAATAGAGATGCACAGTCTGGTAGTATCGCGGCACTCGGGCGACCAATGATACAGCACGCCCCGCACACAGGAGCACAATCTGGTAGAACGAAGGTACTCAGGGCACTCAGGCACACTCCCATAGAGCCAAGACACTCCGAGGCAGTCTGGTAGTTCCAAGACACCCACCGCACTCAGGTAGTCATTAACCTGGACGTAATACCACGGCATTCAGACAGATACGCAGTCTGGTAGTACCAAAGCACTACACTCTGACGGACGGACGAGGGGCGGAGGAGGTGCACTCCTCCGGTGCTCTACCTGCTGTGACTGGGAGCGAGTGAGTACGGTGGGAGGCGGTAGCACCACGTCACCCAGAAAACCCAGGGGCAGGCGGACCTCGCCAACATATGCTGGCGGAGCGCGCAGACAGACATATAGGCAGAGCGCGGCGGTTGTCACATACAGCAGACATAGACCCGGAGAGAGATGATCAAATTAAGCGTACGGTCGTGACTGGAGCCAAAGAAGCATAGAAAAAAGCAGTGACATTACACATTTCTTGGCACATCGAATACTGCATGGAGATAGCTACCCGTGGATTGAAATGTCACAAGCTCTCAGTCTCCCAGCTCCGCAGCAGGCCTATTGAGTACCGTACTCAAACTCTAACCGCCATCCACCGCCACCGCTCCAACCGCAGCCTCAAGTCACCCACCAGCCAATCATTCCGACATACAACAACCATAAAATCAAACAGCTCCGTCCCATCAAAGAAAAGGCACGGTAATACCTTAAACATTGCACTTTCGTAAGGAGACAGCGGTAGGATTGAGGGGCTGGGGCGGCGGTGGAGCTGAGATGCGTGACCTCTAGCGGTCGACACGCGTTTGATGGACAGTTGACGGGAGCTGAAACTGCGATAAACACAACCCCTCCCCCAACCCCTCCGCCCGTCAGTTAATCCCTCTGAGACCCGTGTGTGGCTGGTTTGGGCGCCCAGGCAGGCTGTCTCTGTTCCGTACAATGTAGGATAACTTAACTTATAGTGCAGTACGGCACGGTATGGTACGATACGTAAGAGAGCAGTCGCTGATGTACGCTGACGCAGAGCGCCGTCGCTACTACAGAGTATAATCGTCCTCGGATGGACATCCGACCACTGCAGACCCATCCATACAGCCTAGAGCAGGGTCCGGGTCTGAATCAGCAGAGACCGCTGGTCGGCACAGGGGAACGGTCTGTGGCCGGGGCACTCAACATCCGTCCCTTCTCCCTCTCTCCCCCTCTCTCCGGAGAGGGGAGGAGAGGAAGGAGAGAAGGGGAGGGAGGAAGTGTCCGGTGACCCATTCATCCGTGTGGCTGAGCGGCGGTCAGTGACGCACAGACTGCGGGGCCCACAGACCTCACAGACACCACAGACACACCAGCCACGTTCCCACGACTCGACTGTTTGTCTACATTGACCCACAGATTGCTCCGATGAATCAGCGGATGACACAACGGCACGTGACACGGCGCGTGGCTTGGCGCGGCAGAGGTATACACAGGGGGCGCCAGCTCACCGTCACACACAGCACAAGGCGGATGACAGCTCAGTGTCATGTCATAGGCAGATGTCAGGACGACTCAGTCTCACACAGCGCACAAAATGCGGGCCAACTCATCGTCACAAACACCAACCAGAGGTCAAAGGTCAGGCAGACTCGCTCTCACAACTGGGAGGTCAGGCTGGATCACCGTCTCATAGCACACAAAGAGCAGGGTCACAGCCACAAACACGCACACAGGCCATGCTGGCGGCCCAGCAACTGGGAATAATACAGGCTCAAAGACGAGGGGCTAGCAGAGGACAGCCGACACCAGCTCCATCAGACAACACTTGTGGATGCTTCCACATTGCACAAACTGAAAGGCAATACGAATAACACTTCACTTGATGCAGATACACACTACACAACCAAGTTTGGATCGAATGGCTTCGGCCATTCAGACCGGCCGATAGTCTGGCCGTCGGCACGGCTCAATTGATATTTTCAGGCGGTTCCGGGGCACCGGGACTCCCCTGTTAATTAACCACCATCAGTGTGTCGTTTGGCAACACCACGGGACGGCACTCGGATAGTCACAGCCCGGCTCGGACCGGAGCTACTCACGATTTTTGCTGGGGTAGTTTTTGACGCAGTTGGTGGGCGGTTCCGGCGGCGGCAGCTGGGACAGACTGTGGAACCGGTCACCGAACCGCCGCTCGAAGTCTGCAGAGTGAATGAAAACAGGGGGTTAGAACGGGAACCGGTAAGGGGCAACCAATGGTCAGGGACATCTCTTGGGACTGTCAGGCAGACAGTGAATGGCACTAAACGCTCAGAAGCTGGGATATCATTCAGAACCATCGCAGATTGGACAAAGTGGGACACCGCATAGGACTTTCAGGGCAAACCAAAATGTCGCAGCAACCATTCAGAAGTTTGGACTAGAATGAACTATCGCAAGCAGACAGTACAGCATCGCATGGTCAGGTTTCGCTAAAATGGCGATTGAGGCATCACATGGGTAAACGAAAGAGCAATTCCCTATGAACAGTGCTCTACTTTTACAAAAAAAAAAGTTATCTCATCCATGACCCAACATGACCCAACTAACTACACGTCAGCCTGAGCGATACGATAGGAACTACCATTCCGCCAATCCGCACCTGTCTCAAACAGGTGTGATTTCGCAACTCCGTGCGCACACGGCGCAAACATCAGCTGACGTCACTTAAACGGCGCTTAATGTGCGTCACTGTTACTACACGTCGGGAATCATTCGCCGGATAACTGCAGGAAGCAGCCACAAAGGAATGGATTCCCGAGCGGTATGTACGGCTCTCCAGTAAAAGTCTTGTTGGTTTTGCTTTTTCGGACATATCTGGTCCTATATAATGTTCAAATGCATAAGTATCAACCCGAATTATGTGTATGCATATTTACCACGAGACTGTGAAATTGCATTGTTGTATGCCAAATACTTTCCGAGATATTCACCAAAAACCTCATTTTCTGCCGTTTGGGGTATTCTGGCCGCAATCTTCCTGGGATCGCCTATGACATCAGTAGAGCCATCTAACGAGAGGAACGCAGAAACACAGAATCATGAATGAATCGAGCGCGTAGTAAACGGTGTATGAAAGGGAGACTCGGCAGAGGCTATCCGGGTGGCCGGCGCGCGGCGCGCCCTTAGGCATCGGCCGACCCTTCGGACCGCGTGGGGTCAGAGGTCGCGCTCGGGAAGTCTCGGCTCTGGGTTTAAGCGCTGTGCAGTCAGGAAGGGAGGATAGGATAGCGCTAGCCCGACTGACTAGTGTCTCGGCTGATTCGTGTGGGGTGGAAGGGGGCACAGAACGGGATGGTGGCTAGTGGTGGATGATGGGATGGTGGTTAGGTTAGTGCGTACTGCGTAGAACGTAGCTGAACATGCATTGTTTTTTTTTTCATGGCAAACAACATGCAGCATAATGTGCGGGATTATGCCAGAACTCATACAAAAGGGTAATAATATTTCGGCCGAGGGAGTGGATCAGTGCCATGACAAAGCATGACGATGCTGCCAAAATCGGGATGCTTTTTTGCCCCCATTTTTTACCCCTAACATGCAGCGCTTAATCCGAACTTAGAGGTCCCCGACTGACCTTAGACCTTAAAATCGCACCTATCCGGTGCGCCACCTTTTCTTCAGGGGCGCTCTTCTTGGTTGTATCTGTTCTTACCAATAACTAAAGCAAATCGAATGTATAATAAAAAGGCATACCTCGAACACAGTTTTATTCACACCCGCTCGTGTGCATACTTGTTTTGACCTATACCTACCTTCTCGCATCATAATATTACTTCAGTGCTTAACCCTCAACGGAATTTTGGGTTTTCTGCATACGAGTATACCCCGGCCGAGGGGGGGGGGGGTGATTGCGACCACTCTCCGTCTTTTTGCCCCTAATTGAGCTAGCGCCTTGCGGATAAAACTGAGCGCGTGCGTCGTATGAGATGCAGCAACTGGTACTCGATTTGAATGTCTCGGGTCAACCGATAAACTCTGAGGTCAGCTCAAAGTCGCGGGATCGGTTTTTGGTAAACAACTTCACCACTTAAGTGATTACAGAGCCAACATTATAGCACCATCGAGTTTTGCATGTTCAACTTCAAGCGCGTCGAATAGTATACGCTTTGTTTTCGTTGAGGTCAATTTAAGGCATGTTCACATCAGGTCATGGTCAGGGCAGAGCCACTCAGGCCACGAAGCTGGCCCAAGGAGGTCATATATGTAGCTTCTTCGATTCGGTAGGTCCTCACAAGTCCACTGGTGGCTTCCCGACTCGCTAGCTCAATTTGATCGGGACTCTTTGGTGAAAACTCCTGTGACCTTAGTGACGTCATAAATGAAGTCGCCTAACTTTAAGAATGGAAAAGTGAATGCTGGGGCTTGCAAAGATTGTATAAAATCGCGAATTAATGCGCTTGAGACAGCTTTAGATGGCTCCTGGCGCCAAAATAACAGCTTTCATATTTCCCAACCGATCGATAATCGTGAGGTTGCGTGTCCGACCTGACTTCAGGTCACTCTTAAAAAAAATACGAGATAGCTACATACAAGTTGTGAGGCCTCTGTGAGATAGTACTAGATCATATAAGCTTCATTCCACGTTGAAAAGTCCCCTGGCACGAAGGGTGCTGCGACGTCGCGACATTTTGGGACCTTTATACAGAGGTTCACTTTTGACGTCATTGGTCAACGGCCTGACCATAACCTTCGCACTTGTAGGAGGGTGTCGAACAGCCCTCCTACCCTCAGTTTTTCGCAAATAACTCGCGCAAAAAGCGGCTGATTGCGACGACACTTTCAGTACCCTCGAGTTAATCAATATTACGCCTACCCTGTAATTTATATGACCCTGACTCAAAAGACCTTTGACTTGTGATTTGTTTTCTGAAACCATGTTTGGCCGGAATCGCGTTTTGGCGTATTTCGCGTAGAGCGCGTTTTATGTCTTTTTGTGGCTTTAAGCGATCAAACATGTGAAAGGATGTTGATCCCATGGATTCTAGTGGGTATCAAGGTCACGTGAAGGTCAGTCAGGTCACTGATCTTTGATGACCTTTGTTCACTCTTTCGAGTTCTACATGTTTCTAGGGTAGATTTTGGAGTTGATTTTGCATTTAGAAACCGTTTGAACATTTAAGAAGTAGTTTTGGTTCCCTCGTAACATGTGACCTGATGCACGAAAACATCATCTGTGATCAAAACTAACTTGAACTTCGTGATCAGCACCCCGCAAAACCCTATATCAGCTTCACTTTACGAAGCTCTAACAGGTCCCGATTCCCCGACTTTTGAGTTATATTGACCTGTCAACCAATGACCTAGGACCGTGAAATTGGGTATCATCGGCCTCCTCTCGTCACGGGCAACACGCTCTTTTTTTCCGCGAAGCGTTTGCTCGATCAAGGGCTGAACGGCAAAGGGGTCCAATGGACCCTCCTCCCCCCTTACGATAGACGCTGGCAAAACACCAATATGGGCGAGGGTGAAAATACAGCTGCTGTCATAAAAATTCAGCTTAAATCAAAGGTTAGGCTTGCCAAATTTCAGCTTTCGCAGCTATCAACAAAAATAAACATGTGGAGGCGGCACCTCCCCGCCCCCCCCCCCCCTCTCCTCTCGGCCACTGCCAGCGAGGTTTTAAACGTATCATACACGTTACAAGGCATCATATATCAAGATGACACACCCCAGCAGCCATATGCACTGAACAAAAACTTATTACCCACGCTAGTCTATCGGCACCATAGCATATGGTCGAGACTGTCGTCAGCCACGGACGCGCACTCGACCAACCCTCTGAGCCCGTTGACTGCGGGTGACCTTGACATGTCAAGCCTGATCGGCGGCCGGCCGCTGTCGTGCGTCGTTACACGCGGAGGGGAGGGAGACACAAAGCTCTGCGTTATAGTTGACCTCTGACCTTTCCCTGCGCCCTGGTCACTGACCCCGCTCCATGTCGCTGGGCGGTGGCATGGCGGTGGAAACCGGTTCTAGCCTCTACACATGCCACCATTCTAACCCTCCCCTCCCCACGCTACTACGCGGCGTGGAGTACGCTCGTGCGTAACTGGGCGGAGCAAGGGGTCACGCGATACAGGGGCGGAACTGGTTGCCCTCCCGCTCGCCGAGCGACCTACGACTAATACCCTGGAGAACCGTACGCTGGTGTGTCACATTTCACCATTCGCTGTTACCGGGCTCAAAGGCTGAAAGATCGTACCACTAATAAAGGATAGCGCTTCTATCGCCGTCAGATAGATTCAGAACTCAAACCAGGGTCTATACGGTGCGCAAGAGGCCGCATTACAGCCGGATTTCTCCACTCACTATCGCAATGTAGCTGTGACTATATGACATCACGCCCATATTTCTGGGAAAAATGACGACGCTATCGCCCTGTCGTTATCTTGAGTGAGGGAAGATACCTTGCGATGGAGCTTCGTTTACACTCATGCTAGCATTGATCACCTAGGTTAAAAAACGGTGTTCAATCTCCAGAAACTACATTACAAAAACGTCTTATGCAACATGTTACCCAAACACTCGACCTCCCACAAGTACAATGCAGACCTCCCATTCCCACCCCACTAGTCTATCCACGCCACCCCCGCGCGGCGCCTGCCTCAGTGGCGGCTGTGAGCTGCTCTCCTCACCGGTCAGGTCGGGGATACTCGAGCTACTCGAGCTGTACGAGCTCCGCTGACTGACGGAGGAGTGCCGCAGGGGCGGCGGAGGTGGCGCGCCGGCCAGCAAGGAGGGAGGCGGCGGCGGCGGCGGCGCCTGTGGAAACGAAGACAAACATTACGAGGTCAGACAGCTGACAGGGACAGCCAAAGGTAAGAGGCGACACCCGTCGGCGGTGGATTGAGTCGACATATCGCTGACAGATACTCAGTTAAACGAGGACAAACTTGCTTCCAGCGGCAAAATGCGGTGAGCTTATAGCCATTACTGGGGATTCGCTCATTTTTTGGGAAACAGTAACGTTCGTTAAGATCAGAGCGATTCACCTTGAAAGGCAAGTTCAACCACAGTAAGAATATACGGAGTTAGCAGATCAGTAATTGGAGCCAGACCAAGTCCAATTTTGTGCCACTTGACTTTAACCTATTGGGACATTGTCACATATTCACGCAAGAGCTATAAATAGCCAGTTACTCAAGGCATAACTCACACTCTGTTATCCGATGCTGATATCGTATCGCAGCCGATTACTCAGCTCTTTAAAGATCAATGACGGAGTTGAGGTACATTCGTATATCGATCATGCACACTACTTGATTCATACTAGTCCTTTTAGAGACATCCAAGTTGAAACTAAGAAAGCCTAATAGAACACCAACCCGCCTGCGCGCCTGGGACTCACCTGACCTCCCTGTCGAACCTGTGACGGCGGCGGCGGCGGCCCCGAACGGTGCGGCGGCAGCGGCGGCGCTGACGTCGGCACCGGCGGCGGCGGCTGCGACGGCGGCGGCGCGCGGCCCGGCGGCGGCGGCGGCGGCGGCTTCACGCCGGGCGGCCGCGGCGGGCCGCGGGACGCCGGTGCGCGGCCGCTCGGCGGCGGCGGCGGCGGCGCCGTCCGGAGGCCGCCGCCGCCGTTCAGGCGCATGTCATCCTGCGACTTGCGTCGGTCATCCTCTTCTGAATAACTCCCGCGCGCCCTCATACTGTGCGCGCGCGCCACGTGCGGTGGTTTGGCGCCGGGCGGCGGCGGCGGCGGCGGCTGGCCCGGCAGGCTGGGCGGTCCGCTGCCCAGCACCTGGACAGTCGGTGACTTGGGCGGCGGTGGGGGCTTCACGTTCGGTGGCCGCGGCGGTGCCGTCGAGGGTTTCTGTGTGATGCTCGGTCGGACTGAGGGCGGAGCAGTGGTCTTCCGACCCACTGTCGCCGAACCGTTGTGCACCTGGGAACATCAGACCACCGTCAGATACTGGAAAACGCTGACAAAGCTCCACCTCTTACTCACTCCAACTAAAAACACTTCACACAAAGCAGCAGCAATGAAGCGTATAATACAGCATCATAAGCACACACCATTCTTTCAGTTCCAAATATTTATGTGAGAACATACCACCACAAAACACCAACAATCCTTCACATCACCACTGGTGCCAAACTCGATAAACGTCTCCTGTCTACAGCTGTACCACCAGCTGCCATTCACCACACGCCGATCCTTCCATCAGCTCTTTCTCAATACCAACCATGAACGGCTTGGCACCGGCCGGCGGTGCCAGCGGCGCCTCTCTGCGCAGCGTTGACGATGAGTTACTGGGCCGCATGGCGCGTCTTTCTCCCGTCTGTGGGGGGTGAGCACCCGGCAGTCAGGGACGGAGTCGGCACGGGCAGCGGCACCCCATGGCACGAGCACACTACAGCCGGAGCAGAGGCGGGGGTCAGGCAGCGGTGGAGCTGGGATTTGTCGTAAGGAGTTGAGGCTGGAGTCTCGCTGCATGTGTCTAACCATTAGACACAGTAGAAGAAAGCGAAGGAACGTATGGAAGTCTGTGGATGAAGATTGTTGTAACGGCTGGATCATTAGCGAATGAAGACGGTAGCTGCGTTGGAAAGGTCCGCGGAGGCAGGCAGCAGAGGCCAGCAGAGGTGCAGGAGCAGCATGCTGTGGAGCGATGCAGTTGTGGTGCTGCTCAGAATCTGGGGAGCTAGATGCGGCGGCACAGTTGGAACAGGAGTTGGAGCGTACGGGAGGATTACGGTCCTGAAAGATATACTTGAATGGAGGTGGCTCCAGACGGAAGAACAGCAGTGGAAATGTTGAATGGTGGTCTGGTCTTTGGACAAAAAAAAAAACAGACGTGGCCGTAGCAGGAAGGAAGAGTCAAGGAAGAGGAAGAGTCAGCGGTATCACAGGGCCACTTAACCCTCGCATGTGTAGGGGGGGGGGTCGGATGGACCCCCCCCCCCCCATGGTTTTTCGCGAATAACTCGCGTAAAAAGCGGCCGATCGCGACGAAACTTTCAGTACCCTCGCATTGATCAATTTTACACCTACCCTGAAAATTTCATGACCCTGACCCAAATGACCTTTGACCTGTGACCTCTTTTCCGAGACCATGTTTGACCGGAATCGCGATTTCGCGTATGTCGGCTGGCACTAGCCGCGTGTTTGCAAGCTTTTCGTGGTTTCAAACGTTCAAACATGTGATTTGATGTTACTCCCGTGTGTGTCAAGGTCACCTGAAGGTCAGGTCAGGTCATTGACCTTTGGTGACCTCGGGTGACCTCGGGTCACTTTTTCGAGTTTTACATGTTTCTAGGCTAGTTTTTGGAGCTGAATTCGAATTTAGCAACCATTTGAACATTTACGAAGTAGTTTTGGTGACTTCGTAACATGTTACGAAGCTGTCAGAGGCGGTTGACACGTATTACGAATACCCGTCACGACGCCTACTGGATGACCTGACCTGACCTGACCCGACCTGGTCTAAATGCTTCAAGACATCATCTGTGATCAAAACTAACACGATATTCGTGATCAGCACCCCGAAAAACCCCTTAGCAGCCACACTTTACGACTTTCTAACAGGTCCCGATTTTCCCGACTTTGGGTCATTGACCTGACCTGGAAGGTCAACCAATGACCTAGGACCTTAAAATTGGGTATCATCGGCTTCCTCTCGTCACGGGCAACACGCTCGTTTTTTCCGCGAAGCTCTAGCTCGATCAGGGGCCAAACGGCAAGGGGGGGGGTCCAACCGACCCCCCCCCCCCCCCCCCCTACACATTAGAAGCTGGCAAACGCCGCACACATGCGAGGGTTAAATGGGTGAAATGCCCCTACTGGAGTCTCTGTCTCTGTCCCAGGAGTGGCAACACGGGCAGAAAGCAACAAAGGACTCGAACTTGAACGGAACCATTAGAGGATACCACGGCAAACCACACACTCAGGCGCCAATGGACAGCCCAAATACATCTGGCCACCCACCAAACGCAAACAAATGGCGGCCGCGGGTTCACGCAGCGACACACCATGCACGTAAAACACGCACTGCAAGCACGCTATGTTCATGCACGCTAGCCGACCGGACCTATCGACCTGTGGGGGCTGTGTGTAGTGGGTCATACCAAGCTTACCCTGTGTGGACTAGCCAACAAGCACGGCGATGTGGTACTGACCAGTGTGTTGGGTTTCAGCCCGTCAGCCCCCTCCCCCTTCGCCTCTGCACCCACGCCTAAAGCTGTCATGTGTCACCCGGCTCCCCATACGTGCCCACGGCCCATGGCATTGGCTACCCCCCCCCCCCCTCCCCCCTGAGACAGACAGGGCCCTGACAGGTCAGTTCAACAGAGTCGGACCATGGTCATTGGGCAAGGATAGACGCCGCCACACCGTCAGTACCCTGGTCTGTGCCCCTTCAGTGTACCACGACCGCCCCCGCACCACTCCGGAATTGTTAGTGTTGTGGTCGTATACATAAACAGAGCCACATAAACAGCCCAGAAATGGCACAAAGAGAGCTAGAAGGGCTGCAGATGGAGAGATGAAGGGACAAGTGGAGGAGAGAGGGATGGGAGAGGAGGACGACGAAGATAACAACATAAATAAATAAACGCAACCGGTCAGTCACGGTCGGTCTGGGCTAACGGAAAGAGTTAGGTACGATGGCAGAGGGCGAGGGAAGCTTTACAAAGCGGTGCGGCGCCAGGGACCAGTTAGATCCGTGACAGGTGACCTTTAGTGTCGGTGTGATTTCGCGGGCTTCGTCAACTGACAGCCAGCCGCGGGGCGCGGAGTGGCAGACTGAAAAAGCCCTGGTGGCCCACGATAATAAGGCTGCTTGTCGTTGACCCACCTTTTTAACTTCTCTTTATATCAGTACTTCACTGAATGACCCTCTTCACCCCAGTCTGATAGCCGTGGCATCTTCCAAACATTAACATCATGTCGTGAACTCGTTGGTACACTGATGTCCGGCAGATGACTGTATTGTATTTTGCATTATATTGCAATGTGACCCTCCCGTGGCCCACACCGCATCTACCCCCCTCTTCCTATCGCTTGTGCGACCCTGTCATGACGCTAACTGTACATTCTTCCTCACCTCGGCTGTCAATGCGCTTACATGACTCTCCCACATCCCACCCCCTCCCCTCAGTCACCTGTGGACTGCTGGGCACGCTCCGACTCGGCGGCAGCTGGCCGGTGGACGCGCTCGGCTTGAGGCCGGCCGGCGGCGGCGGAGGCGCCGCCAGCGACCGGTGCAGGCTCGAGTTGTTGCCCGCCGGAGCCGGCGACGGCCCCGACGATGACGACTGGGCGGGCACGGGCGCAGGAGGAGGCGCCGATCCGCCCGGCCGCCGGTTGGGAGGGAGCTTGGCCGGTCCGCCGGCGCCTGAGGGCAGAGCGTCAGGCCAGGGTCAGTCGAGCGCATGAGGTTAGGTCTAGGTCAGTCTGGCACCAGCGAAGGCCACGAGCATAGTTAGCACACCCCCATGACCCAGTGACGCACACAACGTTTACCGTCAACCACCTGACAAACTCCGCGCCGCAGTTTCGTCCGTTTGCTAAGCCAACACTCCACGTCAACGGCATTTAACCGCCCACAATTTACCAAACACAGCTGTATGAAACGGTCCCGGCGAGCGCCAATATTTACCACGCCTCAGTTAATTAGTACCAGTCATTTAGCGGACAGTGTGGCCAGTATAGAAGGCTCCTATGTGGGCGGTAGTGAATGTGCGGCATATGTCGTTAATCACGGGGGCGGCGGTAGACGGACGACCGCGGCGTTCTCGCACGTTGGTAAGACGCCGCCCTGTGAGCTGAATACAGCAGTTCGGGAGGGACCAGCAGCTCTCAGAAGATGCATTGAAGGATCACCCGAGTCCGCCCCGAGCCCGTAGCTGCGCGTTACACTAGTCTCTGGTAGACAGCGGCGCACAGTCAGTGCATGGATGGATAGTGTATGGTGCAGCACTGCTATATCGTATATAATTTCATGCGCAGAAGTGCCCTTTATTATTTAGTAGCCACGATCCCGGCTTTGTCAGATGAATGTTTAGTCAGCTGACTGTGAGACCGTTCCGTTCAGTTGTTATCGTGTGCGTGTCGGTATCGCCTGAAGCTCCGTCAAATATAGCGCGATTCTGAGCAAATCTCTGTGTTCCCGACCATCAAGATCTAAACATGGCGCGGTCGGTCGGTGTTCATTACTCGTGCTGAATTTCGCTGACATTGGTTCATAATTGTGTGATTAACGTGGATGATCTGTCCTTGCCCCAGCGCGGCCACGCGGCTCGGCGGTAGAAGACAGTCGACCTAGCCACCTAGCGGCGGCCAGTGACACTACTGGGCGCGGAATCACTCGCACCTGGTGCCGGCCTGCACATAGGTATCCGTGGCCTGGCGGTCAAAGGCGCCCGGCCTGTGCGCCGGCCGCGAGGAGTGACGCGGGTTCGTGCCCCGCCGGCCGCTGAACGTTTTGATCGCCACGACTATGGAAGACTTCACAGCTGCACTTGTCAGTCTGACGGAGCTGATTCGCCAACAAGCGGAGACTGCTAACCAGCGAGAAGAACGTCTAGCGGCAATCGTTGAAACACAGGCTGCAGCTACCTCTACTGCAGTTTCTACGAACAATCGCCGTGATGAAACCTCAGCAAATCGCCCGAAACTTCCGGCCTCAGCTACGCCAGCGCCGCGTCTATCTGGCGGCGCCAGCCTCAGGGAGTTTTCGACCTGGAAGGAACGACTCAACGGCTACAACATGCTGACCGGAGTAGACAAGCTGTCACAAAAGGAACAGCGCGCGTCTCTGTACACCATCGTCGACGACGAATGGTACCGAATCATCAAGTTCGGCCTCAGCGACGTCACGGATACTTCCGACCTGGATGAAACCATCGATGCTCAGCATGCAACAGGCTCCACCACTTCTCATCGGTGTGCAGGAGTGGCCAGAACCAGACGACTCGCTCTGGACAGCACGGAGACGGGTCTCAGCAACAAGACCGTCAACAGCCACCGCAGAACACGCCGCCGCAGAACACCCGCAACAGACGACGGGATGCATCCCCACCACCACCGCAGAACACCCGCAACAGACGACGGAGTGCATCCCCACCACCACCACTACGGGGATCTCAACGCCTTTTCGGCATCCGAGTTCGGGGTCTGTCGGCAAGACGGACGCCGAAAGTCGACATAGAGGTGCAGCACAACCATGGACGAGCAGTCATCTCCTGGATCCCCGACAGCGGCGCAGAGGTCTGTGCCATGGTACCCAGCAGGCCCGGCAGATTGGCGTCGACATGACACGCCTGTCACCGCCACCAGATCGCCTGTTCGGAGCAGCTGGAGAAGAACTCGACTGCAAAGGCACGTTCCTGTGCACACTCAAACTGGGTAAAGCAACAGCATCGTCCGTCACCGTCTGCATCATCCCGACCATCACTGGCGCTCTGCTGTCATGGGATCGATGTATCGAGCTCGGTATCCTGCCGACCGACTTCCCGAAGCAGATCAGCTGCGATGGTGCGCTGCCTCATCTGAAGGACAACAGCAACATCAGCTCGACCAGCAAGTCGGCCAGCAAGTCAACCGGCAACCTCATCAACAAGCTGGCGTCCTCGCGTCAAGATGCCAGTCCGTCCACACGGCACCAGGTCCAACAACCAGCAACCGCCTCTCCTACTCTGGCGCCACCGACGTATCCAGTCTGGCACCAGGAGCAAGGAGAACCATCGGAGGAGGTGAAGAACCAGCACCTGAACATGTTGAAGACCGCCTTTTCCGAGGTATTCGACGTCAATCGTCCACTTCGAGAGATGATCGGCGGACCCATGAAGATCGTGCTCAATGAAGACGCTCAGCCATACGCCGTCACCGCGCCCCGCTCCATCCCATTCGCCTGGAGGGACAAAGCCAAGGAGCAGCTGGACAAGCTACAGCGGGATGGCATCATCTCGGAAGTCACCCATCCAACAGAGTGGTGTCATCCACTGGTCGTCGTGCCGAAGAAGCCATCAGAAGACAACAACACCATCGATGTCAGGATCTGCGTCGACCTGACGATGCTGAACAAGCACGTACGTCGCGGCGCCCACCCTGCACCATCATGCCAAGACGTCATCACGAACATCAACAAGGACAGCAAGTTCTTCACCAAGCTCGATGCGAAGAATGGCTACTTTCAAGTGCCACTCGCTGAAGAAGCGAAAGATCTCACCTGCTTCATTACCCCATGGGGCAGATATCGCTTCGAGAGATGCGTCCAAGGCCTCAGCTCATCCGGAGATGAGTTCAACCGCCGAGGTGATGTCGCACTGGCCGGCATCCCCAAAACCTGCAAGGTCATCGACGACATCTTGTGTCACGACAGCACCTACTCGTCCCACCTCAAGCACGTCATCGACGTCCTGGAGCGATGTGCGAAGCACAACATCACACTCAACCCAGCGAAACTCCAGTTCGCCCAGCCAGAGGTCGAGTACTGCGGGTTCAACATCAGCAAGGACGGATACACCGTGGATCAGCGCAAGCTTCGCGCCATCTCCAACTTCCCAACGCCACAGAACCTGACAGACCTCCGCAGCTTCATGGGGCTGGTCAACCAGCTGGCCTCATTCTCAACTGAGACAGCGCATGCCGCCGGTCCGCTGCGTGCTCTACTTCAGCCCAAGAACCACTGGTGCTGGACCAGCGTCCACCAGGAAGCGTTCGAGGCAGTCAAGGCAGCTCTGCTGTCTGCACCCGTGCTGGCATTCTTCCAGACCGGTCTGCCAACAGCTCTCCACACCGACGCCACGCGTCTGCATGGCCTGTCATACGCGCTTCTCCAGCTTCAAGACGAACACTGGCGTCTCATCCAGTGTGGATCTCGGTTTGTCTCTGACACCGAGTCCCGATACGCCGTTATCGAGCTGGAGATGACCGCCATCTGCTGGGCTGTCAAGAAGAACCACCTCTACCTGGCCGGCCTGAAGGAGTTCGACATAGTCAGCGATCACCGTCCCCTCATCCCACTGCTCAACCAGAAATCTCTGGCACAAGTGGAGAACCCTCGTCTTCTCCGCCTTCGCGAGAAGTTGGTGCCATACCACTTCACAGCAGTGTGGAAGTCCGGCAAGACACACTGCATCGCGGACGCCCTCTCCAGAGCGCCTATCGACGACCCAACAGAGGAAGACCTGGAAGCTGAAGAGGATGCTCATCCTCATCTCCGCAGCATCGCCCTGGCCAACATACCGGAGATGTCCGATGACGAGAGTCACCCCGCACCTGACCTGCTCATCGACGAGATCCGTGCAGCTGCACGGCACGACGATGAATACCAGGCGCTGACGAACGTCATTCTGCAAGGCTTCCCCGACCAGAAAGCAGATCTACCGTCCAGTCTGCGTCAGTACTGGCACGTGAAGGACAGCCTCACCCTGGATGATAACGTCATCATCTGTGGAACACGTCTCCTCATCCCACGCAGCCTCAGACGCGACATCCTCCAACGACTTCATGCGAGTCATCAGGGCATAGAACGGACAAAACGACGGGCCCGACAGTCCGTCTACTGGCCCGGCCTGAACCAACAAGTTCACGAGACCGTCACCACCTGCTCAGCCTGCCGGACCTATCTGCCATCACAGCAGAAGGAGCCGATGCTGAGTGACCCAGAACCGTCCCGCGTCTTCGAGACGATGTCCGCGGACTTCTTCTCACACGCGGGCAAATCCTGGCTGGTCGTGGCCGATCGACTCTCAGGGTGGCCTATCGCCATCTACATCGACGGCGAGGGCGAGCCAACAGCCAAGATCCTGGTGCATCATCTCCGACAAGTGTTCGCCGCCACGGGCGCACCAAACTGCCTGAAGACGGACGGCGGACCCCAATTCACCGCTCGCTTCACACGAGACTTCCTGAAGAGGTGGGGCGTCACCCACATAGTCTCATCACCACACTACCCACAATCCAATGGGCACGCCGAAGCGGCTGTGAAGAGTGTCAAGAGGCTCGTACAGAAGTGCAGCACATCCGGTCGCCTGGATATGGAGCAGTTCACCATGGCGCTACTGGAGCTGAGAAACACCCCAAGGACAGACGGCCGCTCGCCTGCAGAGATCCTATACGGACATCCCATCCGCAGCACGGTGCCGATGCACCACACCGCCTTCGCCGGTCGCTGGCGTGCGGCCGCAGACGACTGCGACACGCGAGCTCATGATCAGCGAGAAGCCGCCAGGGAGCGCTACGATGTAGCATCCCGCCCTCTCGCTCCGCTGAAGATCGGCTCTCATGTATCTGTTCAGAGTCGCCAGACCGGACTCTGGGATCACTCGGGAGTAGTCGTCGCCATCGGCACTCACAGGGCCTACCTCATCAAACTGCCCAGCGGGCGCACGCTGTGGCGCAACAGGCGCTTCCTGCGCCCATGCCACCCGCTCGTCCCTACAAACGAGCGCAACGACGCTCGACCTGCAACGCTACCCGCCGCCACTACTACGAGAGCAGCGTCCTCAGCAGTAGCAGCTCCACCGAAGAAGCAAGTCCGCTTCGCAGACACCCCGCCTGATGTCCCCCGCCGCAGCACCCGTCAGACACGGCCTCCGAAGAAGCTAGTCGTCGACCCCACTCGGCGCTCCTACCAGTATGTGTGATCGACTGGGGGGAGGTGTACCGGTGATATCGACTCGGGGGGAGGTGTATGGTGCAGCACTGCTATATCGTATATAATTTCATGCGCAGAAGTGCCCTTTATTATTTAGTAGCCACGATCCCGGCTTTGTCAGATGAATGTTTAGTCAGCTGACTGTGAGACCGTTCCGTTCAGTTGTTATCGTGTGCGTGTCGGTATCGCCTGAAGCTCCGTCAAATATAGCGCGATTCTGAGCAAATCTCTGTGTTCCCGACCATCAAGATCTAAACAGATAGCGGCGCCAGGCACCTGCTGCATCATTCTACCTAGCCAGGAATCGAGTCTACTCGTATGTCACGTGATGGGAGCGGCGCCGCGTATGGGCCGAGCTGGCAGTGACGCCCCCCGCCCACCGTCGCGCCAGCCTACGGGCTTCCATCCATTGTACTGAGAGCGATTCTTTCACCACTCCGTACAGACCCCTCGTATCTCAGGACCTTAAAGATGCCATACCCGCCCAGGTAATGTAGATACCGCAGAAGCTGACCGTTTTCCCATCCCACCTTGTCTAGCGCGGCGGGCGTCTCGCAAATCAATCACCCCGCCAGTCGGCACTAATGGAGTATGAGCTATGAGACAGACTACCACTGTGTTACGCAGAGACCGAGCAGCGCCACCGTCTGATAACTCACCGATCTCTGTCCGACCCCGGCCCTGACCGGTCGGCCGCAGCTTGGGCATCCCACCGGCGAACAGGCCGCCCAAGCCGGGCGGGCCGCCGTTGGCGACCGGGGCGGCTCCGCCGCCGCCCCCGCCCGCGCCGGGCCGGCCCACGCCATTACTGCCGCCGCCAGCCGGACCCGACGGCTTGACATTTCCTGTGGAACAGAGAGAGGGCGTCAGTGAATGGTTACTGTTTGAGGGAAGGGTAGTGGCAGGTGAATAGGGCAGCGGATTGTCGTAGATGGTTAGACAGCTGGTTACATACAAACATCCCAAAACTGGAAGATCATAGGTGCAGAAACAGGGAAACGTCTCACGAAACCCCAAATGGTAACACATTTCACAGACGTATACAAGAAATATTTCATTCCACTGGTTGACCAACTTCAGCTTCAAACATGCAGAAACCAGCAGCAAGTCGTATAACATCGTCTAACACACTAGTGAAATGTGTAGTAAACTACACAGAAATTCAAATACCACTACATCTGATACATTCAGATCGCATAAACCACATCCCCGACCACTGATCAGCGCTGACTCACAATCGTTCAACCGTCGCGCGTTCCCGTCCATCACTTACACCCATCCACTCCACACTACCCTCCATCCCTCTGTGTAACAATCAGCTGTCAGCGGTGTCAAGCCGTGACTGCTGTTCCGATGTGCCAGTTACTAAGCGACCTCAGAGCGCGACCGCCGACCCAGCCGCTGCTGGATGATACCCCTCCCTCCCCGGGGCCGGCCAATGCTGTCAGGGCCTTCTCGTTCGACGGATGGACGACTGGATGTCGACAGTTGATGGCGGAAGGATCACTGATCCAGAGCCGATCCGAGGATGGCCGATGACATGCAGCGCAGATAGTGAGAGCTAATATTTGGGACTGAAAGGTCAGACGTGGCAGTCTGCGAGCGGCGCGGGGCAGTTGGGTGACATAAGCACTCAAAGCAGCCTCAAAATCAGGGATATACAGCCTAGTCTTGCCAGGCACGCTAAGGTGTATGTTTAAGTTCTCTCAAAATCAACGTCAAACTACCATCTACTAAGGACCTACACGGGTCACGAAAGCAGCGTAAAGCCGATTCCAATCAGAGCACCAACAGATAGCCGGATCGCCGCCGATACCGTCCCGGTGTTTGTCTAGGTCGCCTTGTGTGGGAAGGTACTCCGAGATTAGTGTGGTACTCCTGCGACAGCCAGGTACTGTGCGCCGCGCGGTCTCCGGGACTATCAGCCACAGAACGCGATAGGCCATCCAAAGCGCCGACCGGGACAGCAGGCCAACATCATCATCATCATCATCATTTATTTCGTTTGGAACTCCGTATTCACGGCTATTCTGTCCAAGTGTCAATACATAAATACATATACGCTGAATGGTAAAGATGTTAAAGGAAAAAAAGTACAGCACGTATGACGTGGTATCACACATTATAAGAGCCTAAAGCGCCCTCCTAAAGCGCCTGCGACACCCAGCAGACGTTTTACTGTCACGCACATCCAGGGCCAGTGAGTTCCAGCGTGCAACGGCGCGGTACCGGAAGAACCGCCGCGCCTGCTCGGTGCGGGGTTTCGGCAGCTGGAGCAGGTCGCTCTCAGTGGCACGAGTCTCCCTACTAGAGACGTCACTGCGGCGCTCGAGCCGCTCCGAGAGACACCTCGGCGCACTGGTATTGTTAACCAAGTAGTGAACAACACCGCAGTCACTCTCCGCCACAAGCTCGTCTATCTGGGGCCACCCGAGCTCCTCCAACAGCGGAGTCACGTGTGCTGAGCGGCGAGCTCCCATAACCACCTGTGCGCAGTGATTAATAACTCGCTGCACGCGGCGACGCTGAACAACGCCACAGCCCGACCAGACCGACAGACAGTAGCGGATGTGGGGGAAGATCAGCATCTCAACGATCAGTTTCTTCACTTCTTTCGGTAAGCATCGCGAAGATTTACACAGTCCTCCTAATGTGGCGTAGCATCGGCGAATCACCTCCGTCACATGTGGCTCAAAGGTCAAGCCAGAGTCGACAATTACACCCAATACCTTAATGCTAGCGGAAGTTTGAATAACATCATCTCCAAACTGTACATTAAAATCAAAGTCAAGCTGCCTCCTACGTGATTTTACAACTAACAGTTCTGTCTTTTTGGGGTTGATTTTTAGGCAGTTTTGAACAAACCAATGACTCGCAATGTCTAAAGTACATTCGGTATCTGTCTTCAGCTCTAAAATTCGCTTCGGTGATGCTAGATGTAAAAACTGAACGTCATCGGCGTACATCATCCTGACTGGCTGATATGATACGCACTGTTAACACGCGCACTGCAGGGGGGGGGGTTGTTTTCAACCCCCCCTGTGGTTTTTCGCAAATCGCGAGAAAACGGCGGCGCGTAGCGCCGCCAAATTTTGCATACCTGTTCTCCCAACTTTTGCACACCTTGAGTAAAAATTTTGACCCCAGGTGACTTATGGTCAGGTCACCAGGTCAGGTCAAGTGACCCTACCTCGAAACGTAAATTTCGAAGTTTGCAATCCCACCAAGCCCACAGTTGTTGAGATATGATCTTGAAACCCACAGGAAATGGTAAAGTCATCACGAGCTACAACTTGTATATCTCGGAATTTTTATATCGATGACCTAAGGTCAGGTCATTTTTGCGACCGGCCCATTATAAGTCAATGGGAGAAATTTCAACTTACTCTGAATGACATCCTATGACTTCAATACGCTCAGGATCATAGTATTACAGGTCCCTGTTGGTGATTTCACCGAAACATATCACTTATGACCTTTGGAAGGTGATCTCCAGGTCATCTTAGGTCACCTGAGGTCACCAGCGGTTTTTCTTCAATAACTTGAGATTGAATAGAGATAGAGACTCCGTTCGACGTTTATCGTGTTTTTCTCGTCAATGCAGATCGAATGTTATGCAACATGACCTATTTCGGTCAGGTCATGACCTTGACCTGAGGTCAAATTTTCAACTTGACCTTTCGAGGTCATATTATATATCATTCGATGCGCCTTGACGAGCTAAGAACGATGGCGTTCGAATCGATCCTCTGTCTTGTGTGCAAGACAAGTTATTCAAGAAAAACTACCGCGAAATTCCTGTTGTGAAAATCGTAACATTTTGTCTTCGGTGACCTCTGGTGACCTCGTTTTTGACCTGACTCAAAAATGATCTTTGTATTTCTTGTAGATCTCATCTCAACCTATCCAACGCCGTTTACCGCTTGTCGCTACGTTGCGCCGTTTTTGAGATATCAGGGGGGGTTGTTTTCAACCCCCCCCCCCCCCCCTGCAGTTCGTGTTCGGCTCAGACCCGCTGCAGTGCGCGTGTTAAATTGCTAGAGTGCATGGCACTGACTTTTCTAGTTGGTTGACTGAACTGCTGAACAGTCGTACTGACCCACTGATTGACTGGACTGGACACTGGACAGCCGATCGGCTAGTCTGATCGATTGACTGCTTATCGCATCGAACAGCTGGCCGATTGGATTTGCCCATCGTCACCTCCGTGACCAGAATCATATAACTGATGACGTAGCTGCCCCTACCCACCCTTCGCCTTCACTACCGTATCGGACGCGGACAGGGAGGAGGAAGGGAGGAGGAAGGGAGGAGCGGTGACTGACATAAGCCGTGGGCGTCATCCCCGGCCCGGCCCGTCACCGGAGGCCATATTCGGCCCTGCCAGACAGTGGGGCTGTGCTCTGTGCAAGGGCTCCAACGGCGGTGGAAGCTTTAACAGTTGCAGTGAGAGAAAAGGCAACAGTGACGATATACCAAGACGACTTCACCGGCGGAGACTTGACGATTACCATCAGTAGATACCTGCACCGATCATCATCCGCTCCCCGCCGTTCTCATTGCAGTGTCATGAAATGACCCCGTTCCCCCCTAACAACAGCCTCCGGCGCCGTCGGCATATGACGTCACCAGGGCTGGCCGCCAGCCCGGGGAACACAAACATGGCACAGCTCCACTGCACGGCGCCGGCGGGGTAACGGCGGCGGGGCAACCCAGCCCGGTGCACGCCGCGGGCCACAAACACAGAGAAACCGACTCATTAGCCGAGTAAACGCCGCCCGCAGACTGCATTACCGCAGTAGCGCCGCACTAACAACTGAAGCCGCCGACAGTGACGGGCGTGCTCAACACTCCTGTCGACAGACAAGGGGAGGGAGCTCCCTCCTTCCCCTGGCGGCTGCACTGAAGGGGGAGGGGGGTTCCTCTCCAGCCGGTAGGACCTCCAGACCATCTGAACGGCTTCCTTTCAGTCCACTGAATCGACAGGTTGGTTGGAGCAGACCACGTGGATAACAGAGGGGGACGGGCGGTCGAATCACTGGACAGTTCACTGGACCATGTCCCGTGCCCAGTGCGTAGCTCAACAGCCCAGACCCACCAGTCTGCCACCTGGCATCTCCAGCGCCGCTTCTACCGCCAACCAGCCGTTAGAGCCGCCGAATTCACCGGGAGGACACACGGGTAACACACGGGTCTGCTGGGATAGAGGCTTGAAATATGATGGGTGAGAACGGCGGCAGAAGACACTTATCTTCCGACAGTGCCCTCACTCAACCGGTATCCCTTTCCGTCCTCTCCCAACACCCCTCCCGTCCGACTGGTGTCCGGTACGCAGCGGCAGACGCGCCATACCACCACGTTAGGTGCGCGGCTCGGTAGCGCCCGGTAGCCTTGATTGTGGGGTGCCAAGGTCGGGCCGGTGGCCGGCGGATGGAATCACCGGTACGGCCGAGTGCCCCCTGCCCTTTGCTCTGCTCAGAGAGACTCAGCGTGGCGGCCCGCATGGAGCCGGTCTGGGGCAGTGTCCCAAAATTTGCCAGTTTGGGTGGGAAGTATCAAGTAACATCCAAATCAAAATAATTTTCCACTCTCACCTCCAATTTTCCAGAGCGATTTTTCACTCCCTAGTTTACCAATTAAGAGCATCTGCGTGCACTTTGTACCTCTCTCCATATTCGATTCAATGATCTTGTAAGGCAGCTCCCACATCCTCCAACACTCACAAATTAGGTAATTGTTGATATCTGTTTTCTGCTCTTTTTTGTACTCCTATCTGGCAATTTTCCACTCTCATCCCTCTTTATAGTGACGAATATTCCCCTCTGACACCCAAGCCAAAATATAA